TCAATATGTTTTGATAGATTTTACAGTATCTTAATTTTTCTATTTAAATCTATTATTTTCTTTATATAACATCAAATTATTAATTTTTTTCATATGTTCGTTACATTATAATTATTAATATATATATATTTTTTTTTCATAAGTTAATAGTTCCTCATATTGTTATCTGGTCTTTTCTTAGACCTGATGAAGGCCTGAACTTTGGGCCGAAACGTCGGCAAATATAAAAATAAATATAATTTATTTATTTGTATTATTTTTTTTTATTCTACTGAACACCCCAACCAACTTCTCTTGAACAATTAATCTACAGGAATGAATAAATATGTAAACTAAAATTAATTAAGAAAATATGAAAATGGCATAAGTAGATGGTTAAGCTAGCCAGTACATTATAACTGTAATTATGTTAAATAAGTATATTAGTAAGCACTAAATAAGTATATTGTATAAATAAGAAACCTAATAATGTTCTAATAATTTAAGGGTGAAATAGTTAATTGCATTTTTAGAAAATATTGAATTATTCGTATTTTCTATAGCTTTTATACCTAAAGTAGATAGACAACTAATTTTATTTACGTTTTTAAGAATTTTCCAGTCGTCATAGAACCGAATTTTATAACAAGAGAAATTAATAGAGCAATAAAAGATGTGGAATGCACAACCTCCCAAATTAGTTTTAACGATCGTTTCTTCTAAAGAATTTGTAGCGGAATATATCAAAGGAAACATTATTGTAGAGGCGTTGGAGTCGGGAACAAGCCATTTCTCAAAACATTTGGAAGAGCTATAATGATAGTCATCTTGTTTTAACGACGTTTCGTCGAAAAATATTACAATTTAAAAATAAAAAACTGAATTATTCTAGGTTAAAACAATGTGATGTCATAATTTATTTCATGCCAAGTATTTAAATTTACAAAAGATGCCTGAAGTTGAAGAAACGTAATTAGGTTTGTAATAAATAAAGATAGAGAATCTTTTAAATTAAAGATGTTTAAAATAGATTTTTGAAAGATCATTGCCTCCATTTCCGAAAGTTTTGTACTCGTGTCACATAGTCCGAGAGCCGGTAAGAAAACGCCGACATTATTTGATGACAAATTTAAACGCATTTTAAAAAATATTTATAACATTTATATTTTAAAAAAAGAGAGTCTGTCAGTCGGATCTTGCTATCTGTGAAAATGGCGGCTGATTTGAAGAATATTAGACAAGTTTAGGATCGAAACGGGAAAATCATTGAACAAATGTAGAAAGTGTTTTTGTTTTTTAACTTGTATATATTGGTCTCAACCATGTAAACAACAAAATTGCTAAAGCTGGCCACCAAAGTCTCTCTTCTCTGACCTACCTACCAGGATTGGAATGTTTGAGGGAGGCGTATTTTTATAAAATTTTGAATTTTTGAGGGGAAGGGCCAAATTTTCATCGGGTCGTTAAATTTCTAAGGTTTCAATATGGAGGCACTTTTAAATCAGAGAAAAACTAGTTTTTACGACTTTACTTTCAATGGAACTTTTTTTAAGAATAGAAAAGCAATAAAATTTCTTTGGAGGGGAGATGGAGACCCTTGCTACCTGCTCATAATCTGTGGAATTCAACATTCCAAACAGCAGAAATCTCTTAACATACATAGGCTCAAACTTCAGGAGCCGATGTCCACCCCTCTAATAAAAACCCTCCTCCCAGAGGTGCCAAAGAAGGGGTTTCACGGTGTAAGTTGCGCCATCAAAATTTAGGGGGCTCTTTTTCAAATTTTTGAGGGGGGGGAGCACATTTCGTTAGAGTTATGAATTTTCAAAACGAAAACTTTCAATTTAAAAGACAAGTGAGAGCATGGAACAGACCTTAGGAGATGTAATTGTATATAATCTACGAATATTTAAAAATATATTTAATTATTAATATTATATATATTAATAATTAAATATATATTAATATATTTAAAGATTATTTGACTCTCGGTTAATACAAGCATAGGCGCCGACTACTAGCGACTAGCGGGACTTAAACCGCCCAATGCAGCCGTGGTTGGGGCTCAGCCCCCAACAAATTGCTATAGTATGAACTTCATGAACATATCGATTGTGTACAATACAATTCCTTTACAAAGGACTGTATCTATTTAAAAGCGGGTATAGCAGAATTTGTTTAATGGTGTCCTATTTTGTATTGATAAACTCACCCAAACTGTAAAAAGAATCATCTTACATATTATTTCTCAAATATATATTCCTTTTCCGGTTCTCAGGAATGCAATAGAAAGGGAATATCACGTAAAGCGTATCGTAATTTTGATTCCTAATTTTATACTTGGACTTAAATAAAAGTGGGAGGTTTCAAACCATATAATGGTGCTGTCTCAACGAATCAAAAGTTACAAATAAATTCATAATTTGGTATTTGAAAGCTTACTAAATTCCCTACAAAAGGTTAAAAAAATCATCGCCGTCTGTTGTCCGCATCACACAATCTTCACTATTTCCTTTACTGTTGACAGAAATTATTGTTTGACAATACTAAGCTATTTACCTTAAGCCGGTTTACATCGCTTTAGTTTATCAAATAAATCGTACTCAAATCTTTTCTTTGATCGATTGCCAGGAAAATAAATCTAGTTCAATTCTTTTTTGTTTCTTCATGAACATATGTAAAGATATAAAAACTTTTCTGAAATAGATAGGAAAGTCTTGTGAGTGGACACACCAGATATTTTTCAATGTGCTTCGATTACAATAGCATTTACTTTTAGATCTTTATTATTGTAGTTTATCATTTTAAAAATAAACTTTCGAATTTTTTTAATGAAAAAGTAACTTACATCCTGATTGGACTAACTATTCCTCCCTGAGAATTTGAGACTCTTGCCATTAACAGGTGTTGAAACCAATGTTTAGGAGCTTTTGTTAATTTATGATAATCTAATGAAGAATCAAGCTAATATTTAAATTTTAAGTTTAAGGAAATGCAATGGTTAAACCATGGCAGATAATAAATGCTATTTATAAACAGATAACTTACAAAATATATGTAATAACCCTTTACGTATCAAATATTATTGAATAGAAGTTGTGCTGACCCATAAAGTATTAAAATCAGATACAATTATTAGGTTTGAGCCCAGTATTCGCACGGGTCAGCTTGTCTATTAAAATACTGTACTGTTTTAGTTTAAAGTATCCGATATGACAATACTTTTTTGTCATCAGAAAGGAATTGAAATAAATCAATACATGCCTGGGATGGTAATTTTTGACATAGGTAAGTAAGATATATTACAAACAATTCTATCAACCTCCCAGGTTGCCCCTCTACACCGTGATCTTATAGTTCGCCCCCCCCCAATAATTTTCATAAGTCGGCGCCTATGAGTATAAGAGGATCTTGATGAATGGTATACGTTCTGTTTGTGGCATCAACTTCCAACTATTGAGTTTGTTATGTTATTTAGTCTTTTTTTGTAATTATTTCCAACGTTTACGATAAATAAAAAAACAGAAGAATTATTCAAAATATTATAATAACAAGTTACTCATTTAATTGCAAACAATTAGTAAGGTAAGGGTGTATTTGGACATTTTACAAACAATGGAATAAACAAATATATAAATGATTATTTCACTATGCTAGTATTTTTGTTTATTGTTTTTGATTTTTTTTATCTGCTGTCTGTATCAAGAGAAATTAAATAAATAATTTGGTTTAGCAATAACGTCGCTATTAGTTAAGTTAGATAATTTTATTTCTCATAGTTTGTCAAATATCTAAACTCTCTTTAAAATTATGAAAACAAACAATGAAACCCAACTGAAACCTACCCGATAACTATTCTTATCAATCTATTTGTAAACTAAACGAAGTACCAAAAATCTTCCGCTTCTTTTCGAAATGATATGAATAAAAATGTATAATAATAATAACATTTTACTTATTTATTAGGAATAACGTATATATTACTCCTTGCGTTTTTAGCTAAAATCTGTCAAATTTAACGTGGAAATATATTTAAATAGATAAGAAAAATGGTAAAAATTATTAGCACACTGGTTTTTGTTTATATAATTTGATTTTTTAATTTTTTTTTTTACTTTCTTTCCTGGTATTTATAGCGGTTTTTCTGGCTTCTTTCTCCATGTTTATTCTTTTTTGTCTGTACCTTCCTGGAGACTTCATCAGCGAATGATCAATGAACATGAATTATCAATGAGAAAAATTAACTCCCTCTCCTCTCTTAACACAAAAATCTATAATTTATTTTTTTATTAATTAAATAAGTTTCCCATCTAAATTGTTTTCAAACAGAATCAGCAGTCATAAAAACATTTATGACACTAGAATAAGACCAGTTGGTGATGATAAATCATGAAGAAGAGATAATTCATTTAATTAATAATAAAAAAAGGATTTTAATGAAGCTCCTAAAACAAAATATTGACTTTATCTATCGAATAAACTTTTGATTTATGATTAGATAAAAGAACATCGATTTTTTAATAAGATAAAAGAATGAATTTGCCAAAAATCGTAAATCTTTTGGGGAGAGTAGATCTCATTTGACTCACGTTGATCCGGTTACCAATATTTAAAAACCCAATAAAGCTGTTAAGATTTTTTGTTTACTACATAAGAAATGTTTTACAATCAATTGATTTATAGACAAGATAACTGAATTAATATTATTATTATTCTTAACCTGAAGCAAGAAAATGTATTTTAAATGTTTTTTTTTCACGTTTGTTGGACCAATTTCAGTACTGAATCTTTTTCCATATTTTTTTTTTATTGTTACAATATTCGTTGCTGATCTTATGAGGTAGTGACAAAAAAATTAATTTTTTTTTAGATACAATGTGATAAATGTTATTGTCTCAATGCTGACTCAAAGAGGTAATTTAAATATGTAAACCTATCACAATTGATGAATTTTGAAAATATTATATATTAAATAAAACAAAGAATGAGGAAAATTCACATAAATGTTTTGAATGACTGACCTGAAAAGAACGATAAGACGCAAGTGTCAAGACAGCAGAAGAGAGACTGGCCCTCGAAATTACCTGGTCGGCACACTAGTGCCATCTGGCTTTCCTTTGTGTACCTCAAAGCCCTCTCCCCTCCATACATCCCCTTCTCTCATAATTATCTGACATGAGTTTATAATTAATGTTATTTTTTAACTATTGCTTCCTTTAAATTATGTTAAATTTTCCATAGTCCTTTGGCTAAAACTTTTTTTAGGTCTTTCATGAGCATACCATTGTTGTAATATATGCCTAAATGGTTGACTGTCGTGAATAATGAAGAGAAGAATAGTTGGGGTGATCAGTCAAACACGAAGGCAAAAAATGAATGATAATATTTATTTTGACATTTGCTATAAATTATATAGCTATGCTACGTTTTTCATTTTGTAATAAAATTGATACTCAATATGGTTGGTGTTGAGAAAACTGATAATTTATTAATTATAATAAAATTAATTACAAAATTATAATGAAAGTAACCAGTGATATTGAAGTCATGAAAATTCAGACTTTAGATACACTGAATTCAATTCATGTGTTAATGAATAAATTGACAAATTGATTAGAGAGAGAGAAAGAGAGAAATACTTTATTTAAAGCAATGCTGCCCTACTATATAGGGTTGCTCAATACACATACTCATAAATCCTTTTCATAAATTCTTTTCCTCCTTTTCCTTATCACTCATTATATACAATATTAATCTATTATAATATATAATATATAATATATATATATATATATTGGTGAAACCAATACAAAACTCTGAAATTTATATAATATATATAATATATAATATATATATATATATATTGGTGAAACCAATACAAAACTCTGAAATTTATAGCAAAAAAAAAAAAAAAAATATTCGAATGAGAAAATTATAACACACACATACCAAGTAACATAATTCTATGAACACAGATCAAAAGATATGATTAGTTAAAATATTTAAAATTGAATAAATAAATGACAATAAATATCCATAATTAACCCATTTACATGGTTAATTAATTACCATATATGTGGTGATGAATTATCCCAAGGGAGTCTAGAATAATGCTCCCGGCCAACACTGTAAGCTCCCCGATATCAACACCTAGTTCCTCAAAGAAGCTCTTTGTTCTTTTAGGAATCGTTCAGCGAGACCCAAACCAGAGGCTCTCACAGTGAACTCTTTCTCTCCAAAGGTCTCGCAGAATTTCTCTTTTAGGAAGGGGATACATTTATCGTATATTTTCTTTTTTTTTTCCTACTTCACTCTTCTGATCGAGGTCATAGCGAACAATTGGATGTAAGACCAGTGCTGCCTTTCCGGTCCTGGAGAATGCACCTATATCCGCATATCTCGTTGAGCCATCACTATTGATACAATAGATCTCGTCAAGCCTGTGAATTCCCTTTCCCTAAGGAGCCTCATCAACAACAATGCATAAATAAAACAAAAAGTGAAGAAAAGTAATAAAATAATATACATTAGTTTTTGAAATTCATTTGGGATGAAACAACTAAACAATTTATCATTTTTTTGATGTGTTTGAAATATATTACTGAAAAATATATATAATAATACAGAGTTAATTATATTATCTCAATTGAATTTTAAAAACTAATGTATCTTATTTTATCAATTGTATATTATGACGACATAACTTATGTACTTATTATGTATATTATGACATAACTTTTTTAAAATTATTTTTGAATGAAAAATTACTATTTAATTTTAACAATGCATATAGTTTATAATTGAAAAGGCTTTATTTAGTTAACAATGAATTAGCTTTAAGAAAAAGTACATTTATTTCATTTTTTATGATTAATATTTTATATGACAAGATATATTAGAAAGAAGATATTTGTTTGTTAATTGATGTACGATTTAGAAACAGGTGGCTAGTGACCTCAGTGATGATTGGTAACTGCTCACGGGCGAGTTTAAACTAAATTTTAATTAATATGAGATGGTATTTTTTATGTATTATCGTAGATGTATCATAATAGAGGAAATATTTAAAAGGCTGCTTCGGAGAATTTAAAGGGATGATGCGTATACTTTTCTTCATCGCAGATAACAAACTCAATTCCACAGACTTTTTGGAATAAGTGTTTAATTTATGTAACTCCATATAAATGCTTTCTCAAAACAGTTTATTTTTCCCCCTTAAATTGTCAACAGCTGAAATTATCACTATAAATAAAAAAAATAAGGTTCAGCAGGAATTGAAAGGTTGTACCTGTTACTGAAAAATACTCTTTTCATTTCTAGTATGTGTATGCATGGAGGTCCTTGATATTTTGAATAACGGTTATTTTAGTAGTAGATATTAATTTGAAACTGGATTGGTTGTATCTGTTACTAAAAAATACTCTTTTTTCTCATTTTTAGCATGATAATGTAGGCAGATCCTTGATTTGACATTTTAAATAAGAGGTATTATTAGTAGATATTTCTTTGGAACTGGATTGGTTATACCTGTTTCTGAGATATACGACTTTTTCTCATCTCTAATCTAGTTATGCTCCAATTTTGACAATATTAAATTTAAATTATATATGTCTCTCTTATATATATAATGAGAACTTGACCAAATGCTTCTCATTAACCTAACAACATACTATATACAACCATAAAAATTACAAATACAGAAGTTAGCAACCATTACGTATATGGAAAAAAAAAAATCACAAGATATAGGAAGTAGATGTAAACAATTTTTCTATTTATATTCCTTTAATAAATAATTTTACAAAATAATAACATTCTTCTTTCTATAGAATTCAGGTAGCTGAGTGAGGAAGATATGGTATAAAATTCAACATTATTTGAAAATAATAACTATTATTTACAACTTCAATAAATCGTTATAATAATTTAAACACTTTAATAATATTGCTACATTTTCATAAAAACAATAAAAAATTGGATAATTTAACCAAAAGTATTTGGTGAATTAAAAATAAATAAATATTTTCTACAAACTTTATATTTTGGGTGGCCTCATATGAAATCTGTCATTTTCAGAAAGTGAAGAAAAAGTCAATTTTTTTTTTTTTATAGGTTCATCCTAAACTGTTTTAATGAATTTATTTAAGTATATTCATGTTGAATCATTAGAATATGTTTAAATTGAAGCAATGTTACAAAGTTTTTTTTTTCTCAACTTTTAAAAATGGTAGTTGTCTTTCTTTGAATCAATTAACTTTATTTGTAAAAAATGTCATAATTGTGTTGTCTATCAAGTTTAAAATGCAAGTGAATATAAAATAGTTTTATTGTTTGATAAAATACAAAAAATAGCACACATACACAAAATGTTAATTCAATTCAGATAAATAAATATTAGGTATGACATTTTAGAAAACAAACATAGATAGTCCTTCTGGGGAAAACAAATCACATCCTGGGTTAGCCCAGTCTTATTATTATTGTTTTTAAATTATATCTTTTTCTGGGAAACTTAGTCCTATAAGAATAATAAAAATTTACAATACAAGCAGCAGTTCTTTGCCCGCTTGATAGAACATTAACTAAATAAGAAACTAAAACATAAATAATAAATAATTACATACATAAAATTAAAATAAGTACCTATATACATACATTATGTTAATATTAGGATTTTAAACTTAATCTGAATGAAGATGTATCAACAATAGAACAAGAAAAGTTGTAGATCCAAAATCTTGTAAATTTATTAATAATAAGAATAAAGATAGCAGACAACTGTGGATTTATTTAAAAGACTACATCATTTAGTCCTCCCGTTTTATTTTTAGCAGCTTTAGAAATATAGCCCATGGTACAGACCCCTTTTTATCGAATTATTAATATCCCCCTGAAACTTTATAAATAATTTCATCTCATTGTAACCTACAATTATTTTTTTTACGAAAAACTCTTGGAATTGGGGTGTTTTCAATCCGGAGGGGTGGCAAACTTTGTCTATTTAATTAGGTACTAAAAACTCGTAAATACACATTTGCTTTTTATTTAGATTATAAGATAATTTGATCACAAAATAGATAAAAAAGGTGGCCTACAGAAATATTGGACTGCTTGTCCTATATGACCTCGTTATTTTGAAATTTTGGGTGTGTAGGTCATGTCAAACGGCTCAATATTTTTTAAGGCCACCTTTATTCTCGATTTTGTGATCAAATTATCTTACGATTCAAGTACAAATCAAATGTTTATTAACGAGTTTTTAGTACATAATGAAATAGACAAAGTTTACCCCCCTCCAGATTGTAAACGTCCCAATTCCAAGGGTTTTCGTAAATAACATAGTTGTAGGTTACGATGAGATGAAACTATTTATGAAGTTTCAGGCTGATGTTAATAATTCGATAAAAAGGGATCTGTGCCCTGGACTAATAATTCCAAGTCTATAAACAATGCTATTAGTTTTCTATATATATATATATTTTGTATCTTTTAAAATCATGTGAAACAGACATGCAAGTTTTTATCGTTCCTCTATCTATATAGTACCTACCTATAAGCAGATAAAAAATAGCTCATTTAAAAAAAAAATTATGAATAGGACTGAGTGCTCATTGCACGGATATTTTTATTAAAACCATTCATTCGTATATATTCCTCTTCCATATTTTCATCGCCAAAAAAACCCCTGTCTTCTTCTTCTTCTTCTTCTACTTCATCCTCTTCTATTTCACGACTTTCAGCAAAATCTTTATCAACCACAGAATCTTCCCTCCGTTTCCACACTGGTTTTGTTGTACCATAACACTGGATTGCGAATTTCAACTCAAGTAAAAATGCTTCTGCAGGGGATAACTAAATGATAAGATAAATTTTGTTAATGGTGGAGAAATGATTGACTGCAGATCCTCACAGGAGAAAATGGTTAGGGATTGATGTCAAAGTGAAAAATAAATATTTATTTAAAAAAATAAACACATATTTTTTTGTATTTCACCCTGACTGCAACTCCTAACAAACTTTTAAGGTAAAAATATGATAACATTTATTTGAAGTGAATAATTTATGAGAAAAATGGTTGGGGTGATCAGTCAAAAACAAAATTGTAAAAATTAATAATTATATTTATTTTTATATTTGCCGACGTTTCGGCCCAAAGTTCAGGCCTTCATTCAGAGCGAAGAGGTGGCACAAGACTTTGTGACATAAATCACCCCAAACATTTTTTTGACAGATCACACCAACCATTCTTCTCTTCAAAAAATATATTAACCATTCAGTAGACAAAAAAAGCTAAATAAGAAAAAAATGTTGTTATTTATATCTATATTAAGTTTGTGAATATTAAAGAGAATGAAAAACAAAAGAAATTGGATTGTTCATTTCAGGGATGTTAACAGTTATTCTCTGAAGAGAATCTCATTTAATCATTTTCATTAAAAATTATATTTTCTAATAAAAATACTATATATATTAACCATAAAAATTATAGTTTCTAATTTCACATAACTTTTAAATAGATATGGGAGTGGGGTAGCTCAGTGGTAGGGTGCTGACTTTTAGTGCTCAAGGTCACAAGTTCAAGACCTGTTGATGGTAGATAAATTATTTATTTTATTTCATCAGCCATGGATCGATCCTGGGGTCGGAAGACCCTCCTGGGGCACACCCAGCCTCTATAGAGTGGGTACTGTTAATTAAAAATAATTAATTGACTAGGAAAACCTAGTGGTGGAACGTGATCTTGGTCAAATCACCTCCTTCCACAACCGTTGACCAAGAAACAGTACTTCCCAAAATAGTACTGAACCCAAAGCCCTTTATGGATTGTTGTGGTACATTTTTTTTCTCCAATAGATAGCATAAGAAAGCAATGGAAAGAGTAGAAATATATATGTATAATTTACTTTTGGAAGGCTAAAGATTAAAAAAGATCAATATTTAACATATACATAACATAACATATACATATAAGGGCGGCTACCAGATGGTTAAAGTAAAAATCCCTGACTTTTCCCAATTTAAATAGTTTTACCAGATCAATACGTCTGGAGACACAAATATTAAAAATATTTAATTTATAAATACATTTATTTGTTATACATGAAAGACATTTATAATAAAAAACAATAAAATCAGTTGTTCTGAATATTCCGGTATCAGGGTTAAGGCAGATTTTACTCGAATAGACTAACAAATATTTATAATCAATTCGCGATCCATTTGATGAACCTCAAACTAATATTTTGTGAGGATAGATACAAAGATTCTGCTCCAGACATAATGCTATTTTGAAAAATATTAGCTGTGAAACAGTGTTTTATTTTAGTTAACCAACAAATGGAATTCAAAGGTTTAGCAGACAGCTGATGAGAATTATCATGAGGCTGACATATTAGACGAGGTGAAACTCAATTTTTTAAAAAGTTAATGCTCGATCGGACTCTACATTTTAAGATTGAAATTGTTCTAATGGATGTTTATCTATAGACAGAATTACTATTAAGAAGTTCATTACTTTATTTTAAAAAATAAATATGTCCATAAATGTATATATTACAAATTGTAAATAATATTGGTATGTTTTTCTTTCCAATAAAGCACTTTGTTCAAGTCCATTTGGATTAAATTTTGTTCATTACTCTTGTTTGACTTCAATATAACGACCAGTGCCATTATTGACAGTCAAAGATGGATGAATATAGCGACCGTGGTCGTTTATAATGACGAAGTTTACTCCTTCAAGGTTATTATAAACGATATTAATTGTACATTTATTTCCAATATGAAACTTATATTTACGTACTAAACAAATTCTCTGACTAACAACTTTTTCCAGACTTCTCCCTGTTTCGAAAATTCTCTGACTTTTCTCTGACCACCCTGATATGAAGTCATATAAAGTGAAAGTGATGAAAAAAATCATAAAATTTACAGATGAGTGGGAAAAAATATGGTAATATCTTTGATTTATCTTATTAATTCAGATCTTTCTGTTTCTTCTGGCAAATGCTCATATAAAAAACACCCTTTCATCCCAGAAAGAGAACTTAAAAAAAATTTTTTTTTAATAAAAAAAATTAAGAAAAAAAATTTAAAACCTACTGCCTAGCTGCTTGCCAATTCTGAACTCTCAGCACAGCAGTAAGGATTGGATATCTCTTTTCATAACTATTAATTTAATAGTAATTCCTCCACTTACAGTATGCGGTCCAATTTATAGTTTATGAGATATTTTAATCCATAACTCCAATAAAACTTGTTATCATTTGGTTTTCAACACTATGTTTTCCCTTTTCATCTCTCTAATACGGCGTCCTGTTAAGATACAATTTTTAATGACAACTCATAACAAAGAGTATGAAATGATGAACATTTCTCTCGCAAACAATATGCAGGTCCGAATTTTAGTTTTTGAGATACTTTAATCCATATGTAAAAAAACTTCAATTAGTCGACTCCAGCCGATTTTACCCGACTGTTACACATCGAAGATCTGATGGCTCAATCTAATATTGAAATAACGGCTCCACAAAAAATGTGCGAAACGCGCCTAAAGAAAAATTAATTATTAATTATTAAATAAATGTATTTATCAAATAAAGGATAAACAATTCAAACAGTCTATTTTATTCTATTAAAATCAAATTAAGTCTTTAAAGAGCCTTTTCAATCAATTATTCCACAAATTGTTTGGGTTTAAATTTGTTATACATGAGCAAATAAAATGTGCAATAACATGGAAATCCTGTGTCGCTATTATTATACAGGTGTTTGTTCCACTTTGATAAGTGGCAACAAGATCCCATGATCACACTATAATTGGAATTCCGAGAACGGCATTTATCATGGCCAACTATTGACAAACTTTTTGCAGGTATAATCTTCCTTTATTTAGATCATGATTTAAGACTTACAACTGGACCTTTTCAATTGAGGGCCCCCCCCCCCTTCTGGACCTAATAAGGGCCTTAATTAGCTCCCACTTAATTAGCCTCAGTTTCGACTTCCACTTGCTATGCCCACTCAAAACAGATACATGAACTCGCAACAGGTCTTTTTCAGTTAAGGTCAGGGCCTTACCAGACAGTTCAGAAAACTCCGTCTACACTCAATCATACTCAAATTTCCATTCACAGTTTGTTCATGAACTAAGGTTTTTCATTAATAGAATACTATTTAGAAATTAATAAAATTAATGATTTTCAATGTATATGTGTAATTAGAATGAAATACCTTCTCTGTGACAGCAACTTTCCTGACATTCCAAAGAAATTCTAAAATAGAGACGAAAAAGGCAACAACACAACCAACGAGCAATACCAAGAAAACTCCACCGACGTGAGCTATACTCAGTTCTGACGAGTCTTTGCTTTTATCTTCTTCCTGCAACATATTGTTTTCATAAAGTATATTATAAATATGATAATAAAAATATTCGTAATCTATGGGTCGGTCAATACCGGGCATTTATCTTTCTGATTTTTCCACCACTTATCCTTCAGCTGTTGGAGTCTACCTGATTCCTGCATTTTCAGGACAGAACCGCTGATGGCAATGCGGTAAGGCGAATCTGTTAACAAATGAATCAATAATAAAAAATGAAAAAAAAATAACAAAAAGAAAAATTACAAATAAAGATTGATTATTAAGTTACATTAGTATAAATAAAAAGTATTGGTATCATTACACACTGTTCTGTCAAATCCTATGACATGTCCGTTATAATTTTATTTTTAATAATTAAATAGTGAAAAGTTTTGTGACTATTGGAGATAAATGCATTCAAACTTTTAATTATTTTTCCTCTGCAAATATAGTTATAATTAAAATAACAATTTATACATATAAATTAAGTTTTTTTCTGTGGGTTTGTAGAGCTCTAAGAAGGTTTTAAGCTATAGCCATAACCATTTGCCACTTTCAAACAAAATGGTGAAGGATTAAAAATCCTCGATTTTTTGTCTTCATGCCTAACTGCCACTGATCTATTCGATGTATAAAGCCTCTTTTACATAGTGACAATTTCTGTCGTGGTAGTACTGTCAAGGCAGCGCCCTTGTTTACATGCTAAAAATAAACCTGGGGACAATTCGAAAAAATGCTGGACATAAAATAACATCTGAGGTCAAGATTTAAAAAAAAAAAGCAAAAATATATTTTAAAAAAATCTGTGAACTTTATTTCAATAATTAATTTAAATAAACCTAATTTTAGCTCGAACACAATGAGTATGAGTTGACAGACCAAAGGCAAACTAATGCAGCTCAAAGATCAAACTAACATTTTGCTTTTTCTCTTACCCTCAGATATTTTTTACAAATTATTTATAAATATATACATACATTGCCAGATTACAATATCATCTTATCATATTTATATTGGGTTGGCAAATAAGTCCTTTCGGTTTTTCTGCTTATTTTTAAGTCACTATGATACACATCTTATCTGATGAATTAATCCCTAAGGTGGATTGTCAATCCTGTTTGTAATATGTCAACAATTATATCTGTTAACTCTTGTTGAAACTAGCTTAGTATTGTGTTTGCTATAGCACTGTGAGTATGGAAGAAAATATCATTCATTATCGATATCTTTTATTGTATTATTTTAAAAAAGGTAAGCGTGCTGCAGAAGCTCATAGAAAAATTTGCAATGTTTATGGGGATGAGGCCTTAACCGAATGCACCTGTCAAAATTGGTTGTCAAATTTCATTCAGAAAATTTTGACATCAATGATGCTTAACAGTCTGGTCGCCCACATAAAATTGAAATGAACAATGTTAAGACCATTGTTGATCGAAATCTCACCCAATCAGCGTGAGAGACTGTTCTGGCCCTAAATGTGTCTGTTGCACACAAACATAGAAAACCATTTGCACAAGATCGGCTATGTTTCCAGGCTTAATGTTTGGATCCCTAACATGATTTTTTTTTAAAAATCACAGAAAATGTTATAACTTCAATACGACTTTAGCTATCTACAACAAATTTAGCAGGAATTTAGGGCCGCATAAACTACACAAAATGACATCAACAGGACCTTCGTCAACAAACTACAAATGGAGGTAAAAAATAAAAATCTATAAGGAGTTTTTGTTTATTTATTCCTTATGTAGGCATTAAATAAAAAAAAACATTCATACGGCTTTGAAGAGCAATAATTCAGCTTTCCAACAGATATAGTAACATCGAATTTGGAGAATATTCTGATGAATTACAAATGATCGGAAGGTTGTGTTCCATCAAGACAACGCTAAGTCCCACACCTCATTGGTCACTTGCAATAAATTATTGAGCCTTGGATGAGACCTTTTGCCTCATCCTCCCTATTCATCAGACCTAGCTCCAAGTTGCTACCACTTATTTCGGTCTCTGTAGAATTCCATAAATGAAAAGAAATTCCAAAAGGAAGAGGACATCAAAAACCATTTAGGTCAGTTTTTTAACAATAAACTCGAGACATTCTATGAACATGGCATTATGCAGTTAGTGAAAATGTGGGGAAAAGTCATATTAAATAATGGTCAATAACTTGTAGATTAAAATAAATTTTATGTCTATAATACATTGAGTTTTATTTCATCCTGAAAAATCGAAAGGACTTATTTGCCAATCCAATATTATTTTTGTTAATTTTATAATGTTAAACTTTAATAATAACGAATTAGTGTTAGCAAAATTCGCAATGTTGATAAGTTGCTGGAATTCGACCACCATTTTGGACTTAATGACAATAAATGGCCCAAAAATTATCTTTTTAATGAGGTGTCGTAATTGACAAAAATTATTGATAAGGAAAAGTTTAAATTGTGGGCTTCAGCAAATTAGCTTCATTTACTACTTCGATTGATGAAATGTTATCACCTTTAATAAGTTTTATTGCATTTTAAAAAAGAGCTGCTTGATTGTGTACTAACAGCTGACATTAAAGTCTTAAAAACTAAACTATTATTGAAGTCATAAATTAGGCATCAAATTCATCATCAAATTATTCACTCTCAAAAATACCCCTTTAGAACTAAACTCTCAACCTTATTTCATCTGAATACTATGTAGGAGAAAACCTGATTAACATTTGCACCAGATTATCATTAATTAGTATTATGTAAAATTAATTATTGTAAAACAAATTAGGACTAGTTTGGATTTGATGAGCCAAATTTCTAATTAAGAACCTCTTCCCTCCCCTTCCCCGGTCAGTGGTGTCCTGCTCAGCCATGGACGCAAATATCATGCATGAGAATGAAGCTTTTGAGATTTAATATGATTAATGTTAGTTTTTGGAATGAATTGACACTTACTGAAAGGCATTGCTATCCCGTATCCTTTCGAATCAAGAAGGCCACCAACTTGCATTAATGAGCAATGTTTTTCTTTTTGATACTCAATAGTTGTCGATTCCATGAAGAAAGCATATCCTCTATTGCCACGCAACACTCTTTCTACTCCTTCGTCATTGTCACTTGTGAAAACGGAGGGATGGGCAGACTCCATCTGGCTCCAAATTTTTTGGTAGAGACTAACATTGCTGTTCTAAAATATTCAAAATAAAATTATTATTAGCCATTCTACTACTGTTAAACAATTTTCTGTTTATAATAAGATTGGTAATTAATGAAACAAGCACCTAGATAAACTAACCTACAAGTTAGATTAGACTCATTTCCACTTTTTACCTCAGCCTACCCTTAACATGATTGAAGCTTCACTTTCAGGATCTCTAGAAATCTTACAGTCCGAAAATTCATTAATCTTGACCTTAAAGAATCAGTCAAATGTCAATCATCATTCGGAATGTCATTACGACTGATTGTGTAGGATCCACATAATAATTTGTGTAATTTACATTTCTGAAGAAAATCTTTTCACTCACCAGGTGCGATTATATTTTATTGTGAAGTGATAAAAATTTGATTTTTTTTTTTCCTTCATAAGTCCTAAGGGAGATACTTTTTTTCTGAGGTATATAAGTAAGATTTGATAACAGTATTTATTTTTCCAATAAATTTTTCTTTATTTTATACGTTTCAGGATCCACTTTCTTATCCCATCTTCAGACAGTATCTCATCCTAATATCATCTTATTTTGTTATAAGATTTGTCATAAATATTTTATTTTTTTTTATATTGTCATAATTCATTCCTTAAATTATATTGTGGATTCCTCTAAGGAGATCCTAGTCAGATACAGAATACTGATTATTTTTTAACATACTTATTTCGCGTGGCTCAACATGTGACCATATCTAGATCTCCCCAATCAGCAACCGCCAGGAGTGTATGTCTGATGCCACAGTTGCGGACTCCGAGGCTCCTTGTGTCTCCTACCACACAGTCAATCAACCAGAGAAGTATTGGTCTACTGACCCTCTTTGGTCTGTGAAAGATCTCCTAAAGCAGTTTCCTCAGTATCTGCTCGTTACTCAACCTCGTCGTATGACCTGTCCACCTTAATCTGGCTCGCTTTACAATGGATACGAATTTAGGCTTACCATAGAAATCATAAATCTCCTGGTTGACCATCCTTCTCCACAATACAATGACAGATAAAAATATTGGCCGAAGAATCTTTCTCTCAAACAGCAGGATGCTTTGACATATAGTCTTGATCTTTGTCCAGGTCTCTGCACCATATTTGAGGATTGGGTGAATTAAAGTTTTATACAAAATAATCTTTGTCCTCCTTTAAATATACTTTTTTGCCAAGTGATGTCTCTACTCATTATCATATGTAATTTGGGTGCCCAGTTATGTGAGTTCAATGACTTGTTGGAAGAAGTAGTTTCCAAACCGCATTTTCTTTCTGGTTACAGGGGTCTGCTTGGATATCATGTATATGTTTTTTTCTTGGTTGATTTCCAGACCAAGTCTTCTTGTTTTTTCTTAGATAGCAGAGAATTATTTGAAGCTTTTATTAATTTTTTTATTAACATTAAAATTAATAACATAATGGTTTTATGAATCAAAAGTTATAGTGAATGTACAACAAAATAGACAGTACTGTATCTAAAAGGTCAAAGAAAATCTGGAAGCCAGGACTACATAATGAATAAAGTTCATAGTCAGTGAGTTAGTTTGAAGTTAGCTCTTTACGAAGAAGGTTCTTTGTGAAGAAAGTTGATTGTGAACAGCTTTGAGTGTTAGGATTACATTGTTTAGTCAACAAGTGCTTTTTAGTATCTTTGAATTTATTTTAAGTATATTGTGAAGTGGTCAGGTATAATTGTATTAGTGTAAAGCACAAGGCCTCCGATAAGTGTTCTAATTTAAAATAATATCGACAATTAATTCATTAATAGCAATAATTAATAAAAAGTTCATAATGGTGTGGAGATGGATTACCGTGATTACAATTTGAGAAAGAGTTTGTCAGGGATGCGATTGATATATAGTATTATATATTGACCGCACTCCCGACCAACTCAAATATAAAGTTCAATTTATTGTTGTTATTTATCAAAACCACAGGAGAAATAATAATAGTATTATGACTGAGAACAACCCATGGAATCTAAAGATTTATTCAATAACTGTTAATTTACTATTATTTGTATCGTCTGGTTATAACTTCAATGACTCAGTTCCAAATTGTTCTGATTTCGGCCTCTGAGTTTCAATGTTTTATTTCTTTAATTTGTTTGAGATCTCAAGATAATACCTTGTTTATATCACCTCATAACAAGAAGAAACCTCATTTGAAACCATGTAAAATTGTATAGATTTATGCTGAGTAGATATTGATTTATTAATGAACCTTTGTAATTAACCAATAACAAAAAAAATTAACCTCCCTTGCAATTTGAGGTTTTACATACCAAGATATGAAGAATACAAACATTAATGATAAAAAAAAAATTTCTGCAGTTTTCTCTGAGATTATTGAACAGATTACAAAAAAAAATCCTATCTAAGTCACAGATCACCCCAGGATGATCTTTGGTATTCTGAACTATCATTCTGCCAATTTATTAAAAAAACAAGACCGACAAGTGGACTTGGTATGCACAACAGAATTGCATGAATGATAATTTAAAGAATCAATGAAAGTTAATTATTTTAATTAGTATTCTTTTTTATTTGTAAACTTATATTATAAATAACGAAGACTTGAAGATGAGCAAATTAACCTGGAACATTTTCTAATGTATTGTAATAAATAAAAGAAATTTAAAGGTTCAAATTATTTTTCCTGGCATTATTATACAATAATGATGTTTTAAGCCTTTTTCTAATCAATTTATTAAATGTCTGTTTTAATCCTATGCATATAAAAAGTAAAAATGACAATGATGTTATATATAAAAAATAACATTATGAAATGATTAAACACTTATGAATACCAATAAAGGCGAAATACCTGAAAAAAATTAGCTGATGAACCTTTTTTTAACAAGCCATATTTTATTTTATTCTGATTAGCAAGGTCTTCTACATTTTCGATTGTTGCTTCCATTCTGTCCATTGTCAAAAAAGCTGCAAGGTTGGCTGTGTAAGAGGAAATCATAATAAGTACAAAGAACCACCACATTCCGGCTACTACCCTCGTAGAAAGTGCCCTGGAATATTTAGTTCATTTTGTTAACAATTCGATTAATATCTTTCTTTTTTTATATATACTCTGATTCATTTTGACTTTTTTATTATATGATTAATCTATCAGTTTAGAAAAAAAAAATAATCTAGCTACACATTACTCAAGTTATATTCTACATAATCTATTTAACAATCAACATTTTACTATATTTTTAAATCTGTCTACACACAGAAGTACTATCTGAGATGAGGCTGAACTAATAAACTAATTATAACTTAAAATTAATTAATAATTAAAAAATATCTTATTGGACAAATTCTTAATCGATTTAGATTTTTTTTTTTCTGTTTTGATAGAGAATTTCTCAATCAATCATTAATTTAATCAACCATAAACTGTATACTTTTTGACTTATTTGCAATAAATCTTCATCTTATTCATATCTGTTTTTCCTTAAATTTCATCAATTGTTTCCTTCTTCCTATTTTTTACCATCTGAAGGAGAGGGTTATCTTTAAAACAACGTCTCAATCATTGGATTTGATAAGAATTAACAAAAATAAGTACTCACAAAAAAAATTTGAGAAATATTATACAAATATTGATTATTCAAATATTACCTTGTCTGACTTCGGTGCACTAGCGGATCCAGGAATTAATTTTTGGGGGGGGCTTCAGCCCGAAAGATTTTTTTTTCATATACATATAACGATAATTAATTAGAAAAAAAAAGAAAGAAATTAACTACCTATATGAAATAGTGTTTAAGTGATTCTTGAATTCCTATTAAATGTAATTACACGAACAAGAATACTTTAAGAGATAGTTTTTAATATTTTGTTCTGTAAAGCATGGTTATATTTTACCATTTTGGAGGGAGCTTCAGCCCGAAAGCTCTCCTCCCCCCCTCTCCCCCCCCCCGTAGATCCACCTGTGCTTCGGTGTAATAAGTTTTGAAATACATTAATAACATATGAATATATAAATGATTTATTAAAACAGAATTATCAAAGACAAATTTTAACAAATCTATTTTCATACTGAAAAAAATGATTTTAATAATTTTAAACGTTGAACTGAGTTAGTTTGAATAAACAAAATACTGTTAAAAAATAAAAATTATTTATTACTTTAAAAAATTGCTCAAAAAATGATAATTTTTTTTATTACTAGAAACCAACAATTAGTTAACAATTAATTTTTCCTGAGATGATTATAAGTTACCAATTAGTTTTCATTTTTATTTCAAAAATATGGGTAATGTTTAGTTCCTTTATATATATATATATTTAAAAAAAAGAGAAACTTTTAAAGTCTTGATTTGACCAACAAATCAAATACTGGGTTCTGTTCTATTTGACAGTACAGGTGGTGCCACATTTATACATCTTCACTAAATCAACTCATTTATAAATAATAATCACAAAAATGAATCTATAAACTAAAGTTCAATAACCAATTTAATCAATAAAGGTAAATCTAAATACTACATGAAAAAATATTTAAGAAATTAATGTTTGAAAACCTAAATTATATATTTTTATTTCTCCTCCAATAATCGAATAGTTTTAACACACTTGTCAGAATAATTTAGAAACACATAAGTTCAAAAATTTAGAAACACAACGCTAAATGAGAATATGTTTTCCTATTACAGTAGATTGGATTAGATAAGAATTTTGCAGAGATCCAAATAAGTGGTGGTCACTTGGAGCTAGGTCTGGTGAATAGGGAGGGTGGGGCAAAAGGTCCCATCCTAAGCTCAATAATTTATTGTGAGTGACCAATGAGGTGTGGGCCCTAGCGTAGTCTTGGTGGAACACAAAGCCCTTCCGATTTGCCAGTTCTGGGTGTTTATTTTTAATTGATTGATCCAATTTTGTTAATTGTGAGCAATATAGAGTTGAATCAATTGTTTGTCCTGATGGCAATAGCTCATAGAAAATAACACTCTTGAAATCCCACCATATGGAAAGCATTATCTTCTTAAGATGTTAATCGGGTATTGATATTCTTCTAGGAGCCTCATTACTAGGGTCCCAAGATTTTCTACAGACTACATTATCGTAAAATATCCATTTTTCATCTCCTGTTACCAACCTTTTCAAAAATAGGTCATTTTGTTGCCGTTTCTATAATGAATCACTTGAAATTGAATACTGCAGAGCAGTCCACCTAGAATGTATCATAAATGAATATTTGTTATATATGAATATTTTTTCCCAATAGGTACCAATTTTTTATTGGTCGAATCTACTGTATTATATCATAATATACAACTCTGAACTAATTTTTAAATTAGTAGTTCTGTGTATAGACAGCATGTAATCAATTCTACTTCACACAGTCTATTGTAAATAAGTTTATTTCTACAACAATCACAAGAAATGCTACTGAATATTGTAAATAAAGATGATTAAATTTAAAACATCAACAATTAGGATGCAGTTAATGGTCAAACAAACTTGTACAACTTTTTGTTAGAAAACCAATTTGTCTTCATTTACATAAAGCTTTCAGAAATTTATTCGGATTAATAGGAAAGAGCAATGATATCTTACTGCGGTGCAATATCAGAGCCTTGTTGCATGAGCGACCCAATATTGTGCCAGATAGCATTGTATATAGCCAAAGTGTTTTCAAGCTCTCCTGGGTCTTTGTTGCATGGGTGAGGGTTTTTCCATTCCATAGGAGAGATCCTGTAACAATGTTAGTTTGGGTTTTTGAATAATATCGCATGCTTCATTCGACAGTTATGTGTTCTCCTTCCCTGCGCTTCACTCATATAATGCTGGTACATCCATGACTTAAAGTATTATAGGGAAATTAACGCACGACAAGATGGTTTAGTTAGACATAAAATGACATTTTGTTACAGTGAGTTTCTTACAAGCTGCCAGGTATTAGACAAGGTTAATAACGGATCACAGAGGTGCAGATCTCGATCTGGTGCTAGGAGGGATGACCTTCGGCTTGTTCTTACTTTGGTAAAAGATCACAGCCTTGGGCCATAAGAGACCCGATAGAAAACCAAAGGCAGTTCTGGAGTGAGAAGATACACTCAAGCTCGGTCGGATCCGGATTGCACGGGTGAGGATTATCCCATTCATCGGGTGTGCATCTGGAACAAATATTATTTTCTACGGCTACGTTTCTACTATTCCAGTACCAGTGTGCAAAAATTTTACTGAACATTGTTTTGATACTAAATAAAAGTTTACTAAAATATTTGTAATAACCATTTCTACTTTGGCTAACCTAATTCTTTGAGAACAGGCTCATTGTCAGCTGAGGCAGAAAATTTATTGGATATAAAATCACCTGTGGATCGATTTCAGGCAAACCTGGCGGGAAACACTAGGCCTGTGTAAAGTGATAATATAAATAAGCATTTTAAAGAAGAACTTTTAGTGGCATGTCCAGTAGCTCGAATTCATTTACTCTGAAGCATCGCTGTTGAAATAATTTTTAAGAGTTCTCTTGCCTTTGTAACTATTGTTCTTAAGTGAAATCACAAACCCAATCTCACTTAAATGTGATTATTAGTGGTTATTAAAATTATTATTTCGCTTATTAGATAGCAGTTGGACTTTTGATTGCTTCCCTCTCTTAATTGATAAATAAATCTCCGAATAATCATTTTCAGTTGAAATCAGGCTTAGAAAGCAAGACTTGTCAAAGTTTAAAAATACTTCAAGAATATCGAAGATAAAGATTAATTATATAAACATATTAAAAGCAATATTTTATATAGTTTTTTCTTATATTAAAATTTTTATCCTTCAGAAACACAACAAAATATTAAAATTATTTCAAAATATATTTTGCCATAAGTGATGGGTTACATATTACACTGATAAATTATATTCTCATTGACGTATTAAAAGGTAAATTTTTGCACACAGGTTTCTGGACTGTAAAGTTAGAACTATACTTTAAGCAATTAATAATACTATTTAAATTACTATTTTATAAAGCAAAATAATGCTATATATACATAAAAACTGTACATAAAATGTTATTAAGATTTTATTCAGGTTGAATACAATAAGACGGTCCCAATTAACTTATTTATTTATCATCTTATACATACTAAGTAACATGAGAGACTTTCGGTGTACACAATCATATTTAACTTCATTGATATAAAATTAAATTTGAATCACAGATGCCTATTTCATCAACATGATTAATATATCTGATTATCTGAAATTTATGTAGAAAAAGTAAAAACAAAACAATCAATAAAAAAAACTAACTTCACAGATGGCATCTTTAGTTTGATAGCTTAATACAATTTTTTTTTGTTTTTGTTTTTATGATGTGGGTATGTTTTAAGTGTTTAAAGAAAACTTACTGCGAGTGTAATTGTGTAAAGTTTTTCAGATTGATTGAGATTTATAATCAATAGTGTAACTGCTCCGTTCCTATTGGAATGTTAAAAATCCTAAAGCCTAATGTTAAAAAGCCTAAAGCCTTCACAATAAACCGTCTTTCTAGCACAAAAAGAATTTTACAGATCGTCATCATCATCATCATCTGATGGAGCTATAGTCCTTGCAGAACCTTGGCCTCCTCTACAATGCTCCTCAGAACCAACCTGTCTTCAGGCACCCTTCTCCATCGGACTATGCCCAGGCTCCTAAAATCGTCTTTGACATCATCCAGCCAACAAGGTCTAGGCCTGGATCTTTTTCTTCTTCCACCCGGGTGTTCCACCATCATCATTTCAGGGAGCCTGGTAGGTCCCATTCTTTGTACGTGACTCAACCATCGTTTCCTTCCCCTCCTTATGGTGAATATAATATCTGGAGCATTATACAGATTCTTCAGCTCTTCATTCGTCTTTATCTGCCACAGACTTCCTTCTTTGAATGAGCCATAGATTTTACATAGAATTTTGCTTTTGCACCTGTTTAATAGCCTCTCATCGTTCAGTGTGCGTGTCCAGGACTCGCTTCCATAAATGACAACTGGTTGCCGGACTGTCTTATACAATCTTATTTTGAGAGCTCGTGGTAATCTCTATTTCGAAATATTTTTGTTAGATATCAATAGCACCTATTATCCACTGTTATCCTTGCCTTTATTCCTTTGTTTATGTTATTATCCTCAGTGATGATCCAAGATATCTAAATTGTGGCACTCTTTCAAAACTATATCCAGCTCCCTCAATTTTCTAGTGCCTTTCAACTCCCTCGTTGTTAACATGTATTTAGTTTTCTCTTTATTTATAGTAAGTCGTACTTTCCTTGCAGCTTCTTCAGACTCCTCACTAGACTCCTTCCTGTAATCACATCCGGAAAGGCTAGATGTTATGTTAAGTCATTCTGTGATTTATACATTATCCTGACCTTATGTTGATCGATCTCATGACTACTTCTAATACTGAATTTTACAGATAGCTCCTGAAATTCGGACGTTCCAACAAACAAACAATTCAAATTTACTTATTAGATTGGTACACAATTATATAATTAGATATATATCCTTTATTCCCTAGTATTCCACGGAAACTGAGGCAACTGGAAGACTTTTGGTACCTCATTCACTAAGAACCATAGCTCCTGAGAGTAAAGAATCTGTACTACCATATATAGTAGACGTACTTTTAGAATATATCAAGTTATTAAGTTAATTGTGGATTTATGATTGACTACAGAGAATAATTGAAAACAAGAATGGGATGATCAGTCAAAAAAACAAATAAGTATATTTCTTTTTGCCAACGTTTTGGCCCAAAGTTCAGGCCTTCATCTGGGCTGGTCAAACGAAAGGATTCAGTTATTGTCTTGCAGGATCATTTCGTTTGACCAGTGAAAACCAGTCCTGATGAAGGTATGAACTTTGGGCCGAAACGTCGGAAAAAATAAAAATAGATATACTTATTTGTTTTTATGACTGATCACCTCAACCATTCTTCTCTTCTATTAAGTTAATAAAAAAAAAAGAAGAAGAAAGAAACTGTGACTCTCTCATTGTATTCAATCTGAATTAATATTGAAATTAAACAGTCTACCAAAAGATTGATAAAAGTTATTAAATTTTAAAAACAAGGTTTGAATTATATAGTATAAAATAAAAAATAATATCATTAGCTCTATATATCACACCTCATCAAATAGATAAAGTGCAATGAATATGTGACCAACATGATTGTAGAAGCACATATAGGCACATGCCTGCTGATTTTGATTTTAGGGTTATCTGAAATAGGGTTATCTTACTTATTCAATTAAGCATCCGGGAAGAGGGAGAGGGAAATATTAAAAATTAAACGTTAAAAAAACTCAACTCTAAACTTAAAAATAGTTCTATTTAAGTTTTAAAATAACAATAAATACATTCCAATTCAATAAAGAGGTTCAATATCACAGATTAGGTGTGTCCGACCGAAGTTTCATTGAATAAGAAAGTAATTTTAGGTAACCAAAAAATCAAAATCAGCAGGTATGTACCTTTCATTTTTTGAATTATATGGTAATAAAGTTTTCTTTTCTTTATAATTTTTTTTCCTATTCTTTCAGAGAGCATACTTATTTTTTTTATATTAGCAACAAAGGTAATCTTCAAACGATGGCTAGTTTTGATAAAGTACTAAGGGAAATGTGGTTTATCGACAGAAAATATCTTTGAGATATAATATATAAAGTTAATATTTCTGGAAAGCTAATCAAGCTTATTGAAGAAAATTTTCTAACTTTACAAAGGTTAGATGGAGTGGAGAGCAACATCATGATGTGATAATATAAATTCTTGGAATAGTTTGTTGAAATAAACACGTTAATGACAGTAATTCAAACCTTGTTAAAATATTATTTACAAATATATATGTACACCAAAAAAGGAACAGAAATAATAATATTTACTATTATACTAGAAGCTTAGATGTTGGACAAAGAAGCCTAGAAGCAAAACAAAAATTATATAGAAAACAAACACAAAATTATCAAAACAAAAGCTTTAGAGAGGAAATTCGAAACCTTGAAAACTAAACAGAGATAACAATAATCCTGAAAAAAATAATGTATAATTAAAATAGATATTAAAAAAAAACACTGCTTGAAATATTTTCAGAAGCATGAACTTCTTAACATCTTTTCTAACAAAAGTACAACATAATAGTTTTTAAACCATTTCTGAAACACATTTGGTTAGCAAACTTATAAATAATTTTAAAAGTTACTATTTATTTTGGAAACTTCATTTAGTTACTGCTAATTAAAGTCATTTTCGAAAATAATTGGTTATAATTTTTACTTTCACTTATCTATATATTTAATGTATAGTATGAACAAGTATTACAATCTTGAAAATTTTTGAATATGAGTTTTCAAAGGAAATACACGTTTTGAGGTCCTCTGAGTCCAAATAACAGAGTCCTGCAAAATAGTCTGCATGTCTGTGTGTATGTTATCAGTCTAGCTCAAAAACGAAGAGTCGTACAAAAGTGAAATTGAATAAAGTTAAGTAACAGTTTACTCTCCCAAAAAAAAAGTCTTTATTTTTTATAACGTTTTGGGGTCACTTTATTATCCCATCTTCAGATTAGAAACAAGAAACATTTTTGCTATTTGTATTTATATTTGTTCATGCATTTATTTTTATAACTTATAATATCAGTGGGCGGGGTGGCCGAATGGGCTAACGCGTTGTACACAGCACCACCGTTGCCCGGCAACCTGATATATGAAATGGTATAAAAATAGTCTTTTAAATCCTCACCCACACCCCCTGGCCCAGGAAAACCCTGCATAGCCTTAACGGTGAGGAAGGGGAGGGCCCAAAAAAAACTTATAATATCAATTACCTATTTTTATAAATTATCCCTAAAAATGCACTACTTTTTTCTGTGTTATATTATTATTTGTATGTAAGTAGCATATATTTAGTTATGAATTATTTTACCTTAGTTATATTTAATTTAAGTTATATAAGTTTTATATCACTTGTTTTCAAGGAAATTAAATGAAATTTACCAACTAAATGTAAACTTTTAAAAAAGTATTTAAAATCCACCTAATCAAGGCAATGACATTGTTTAAAAAACTATTTCATTGTACTTGTGTGAAAGAAGAAATGAAACATAAAAATATTTCATAGATGTATAAAACGTATGTTTATAACCTTTAATACATTTACTAAAGTTTAATAATTTTAGATCTGCTATAATTAAATAATTAAGTATCAACGTCCATTTATTCTGAAAAATCGATGAATTTTCCCTTTGTGAAATCCCAACATTATCCACTTAAAATTAGTGTGACAACTTTTGACCTATCTATGGCAGGCAATGAAAATCTCATGATTTCATTTTAGTAAACTTTACAATGGAAAGTAACCTTTAATAACTAATAGGTGTACAATCCATAATCATTTATATGTTGAACATACAGATACACTTTCAAATCTTTTTAGGCATATATGTAGGTATATAGCTCAGAGACTGGAGTTATGTGATTTACAAAAACAGAGACAAATCCTCAGTTTTTCTTGGTTATACAACTGAAAATATTCTTAAACAGTACCTTAGCTATAATTTTATTTAGGAGATTATATATAACTAAAGCTCTAAGGCTAAATGTTGTCCAAAGTCTTACCTCGCAAGAAAGTATAATAAAAGAGAAACACCTAAATACGCAGTGGCCATGTATATCCAAACGTCCACTGAAAAAGGTGAAAGAAATGAAAATAATTCTGGTGGCTGCTTCATTGGTTTACTGTACAATATACTAATTCCTATAAAAAAAAAGTTAACATGATTATGGATTCAAATAATATATTGATATGTAATATATAATATATTTCCAAAAGTGTAAACAGTTAAAGCAATAATATAAAATTATTTTGTAATACCAAGAGTCATGAAAGGCATGGTGAAGTCTACTGCACTCCTTCTTTCGTAAGTTATCGTTAAATCACAAATGCCAAGATCAGCTCGCTAAAAATCAAGAGTATTTACAATATTTATATATGAAGATTTAAATAACATCACATTATTCATTAAAACAATTATTAATGAATGGCATAATTTATATGACTGAGAGTCTCAAAGCAAAGGCAGGCACCACTATGTAATCCATCCAAAAATTTCCTTATAACCGTGGAATTATTATGATCATATTTTTAAATTATGATTGCAAGGGGGTACCTCCTGTCTGCCTAATGGCGGATCAACCCTCCCCCTCCCCATTTTACAAGTTATACAACTATTCATTTAATTATACTACTTGTTGCTCAAATTTTATAACTTTAATTTACATGTGATCTGTAGTTCCGATTTCACTTATTCACTTCCTATTGTCAATTTATATTATTATATAATTATAATTATTCTTATTGCCAATTTGTAAACATAATATATATTAAACTTGTCCAGCTTCATATAAGCCCAACAATAATTTGAGCCTTTTATTTCTAATATTTTCATTGTACATTATATTTCATAATAATTCTTTCCTTTTCTATTTCATAATAATTATAATTATATCACAATATAATAAATAATTAATATATTTTTAAAAATAGATATTTTAAAAATAACTGCTGTCACTTAAGTAAATTCGAACTGAAAACATCTGATGAAAATACCATTTCCCATACAAATGTTTAGCATAAAATCTTTATTTTATATTAGGAGAGTAGGCGGTAATAGGAGCTCAACACATATGTAATTAAATGAACAGCTGTATAATTTGTAAAACAATCGCCATAGGAGAGCAGCACTATTGAGCCTAGAGAACTCGGTTGCTATTGAGTTCCTGTTATCTCCTACTCTCAATAATAAATCAATAAAATAAAATATGAAAGTCACTAAAATTTTTTTTTATACAATAGAGAGATTGAGACATATTTAAGAACTTGAAAAATATACTTTTATAGCAAAATAATTTTTTATGATAATATTTTTTTAAGTAATGGATTACCCTTTCTCTTAGCTCCTTGATCAGACCAGTCCATTGCTTAGTTTCTTTGTTGAACGACCCATATTCACCATCAGGAGCTAAATAGAACTTATAACTGAACTTCAGGTCCTTAGCTATTTCGTCTATGAGATCCATTGAATATCCAGCAAAGCGGGCATTACCTTCTAAATTCTTATCTATTTCTGTTAAGTAAGGTTCTCCCTTTAAAATATAATTAAAAGTTAGATAAATTATAGGAATAATTTCGATACACTGTATAAACATTAATAATGAAAGATCTATGGAAAACGTCAAATTCTTATCCCAATTTTTTTTTTCAACCATCTACTCGTTATTCTTTAACCTGTACCACTACAACCCATGAAGGGTCTGGGGTTCAGTACTATTTAGGGAAAGCACTGTTTCTAGGTCAACGGTTGTGCAAGGAGTTGATTTGACCAAGATCACGCTCAACCCCCAGGTTTCCCCCTTAATTAATTATTTAATTAAGAGTACCCACTTTATAGAGGGCTGAGTGTGCCCCAGGAGGGTCTCCCGACGCAGGGTCAGCCCATGGCCAATGAAACAGATAAATAAATTTTCTGCCATGAGCCAGGGTTCGAACCCGGGAACTTAAGCATTGGAAGCTCAATACCCTACCACTGAGCTACCCCACTCCCTAAACTCGTTATTCTTTAAAGGAAAAAAAGGCTTCTAGGAATTACACTCTTTCTTCTTCAACCCTTATTATTAGAAATAATGGCTTTATCGATCAATAATTAGTAATACAACTTAAAAAATTGGTCTCTCGTGAAAAATGTGATTCTGTATTAATTAAACTTCTTTCTCTGGTTTTAATTATATTAAGTGTTAATTGTTATTTTATAACTTAAATCAGGATGTTGAAGCTCAGTGTGAAAGTAACAAGATATGTATGCAACATGTCTCTTCAATTTGTTTTCTGATGGTCAATGGAGTTTTTATTAAAAATTTTTTCCCCTGATTTTCATTATTAATGAAATTTTAACAATTTTTTTTATAAACACATATCTAAATATATAATGCTCAATACTCTACTATTGTAGATATTTTTTATTTTTTGGGGGGATAATGTTCCGTTTCCATAATACCGAGTTGAACATCAATATGATCTTTTTGCCATCTGAAATTTTTCTTTTTATTTCCACATCACATGTACCATCTATTTCAATTATGGAACCAAGATATTTAAAATGTTTAATTCTTTTTAGAACCCCTCCTGGATTCAGCTCTATATCCTCATTATTGAATGTCATGTGTCCAGTTTTCTCTGCATTAATAACTAGTCACCACTGCTGGTATTCCTCAATTAATTTTCTTAACACATATCGTCTTCTGCATCCTGTGCAATGATGACCTGGTCATCTGTGAAGGATAGGTTATATAGGAACACCTTTTAGTTCAACTGAATCCTCATGGGTTCACATTTTATTCTCCATGCTTTCAAACAAATATTCACCACCTAATATTCTATTATACATATTTGTTAATAGTTTTGCCACATTTTTCTCTCCAAATATGGAGGCTAAAAGAACCATTCTGGAAGAGATTCAGAAAAAACGCCTGAAGTGGTATGGACATTTACAAAGAATGCCAGAAGGAAGACTACCTAAAGAAGCCCACTTATGGAAAACTAGGGAAAGAAGACGAGGAAGACCTGGGATAACGAACTATGGGAAGAATGGACCTTAGATAGGACATTATGGAAAGAAGCCATCCAAGCACTTTAGGTTAAGGAAACCCACCATTAGTGGAAACTCCTAATAAAAAAAAATACCTAAATATGAAATATATAATTAGGGAAAAATTTTGAATCCAAATTTTCTATGGAAATACAAGTTTTGAAGTTCTCTGAGTCCAAATAACAGATTTCGCAAAATGTTCTCTGTGTGAATATGATTGGTCTAGCTCAAAGATGAAAAGTTATATGAAACTGACATTACATATCAATGGAAGACATATCTCTGGGATGTTACAGGAATCTTTTCATCAAAAATTGGATAAAGGAGAAATAAGGTCTGATAAGTATACGAACCATCTACTAATGAAGCCAAGTGTGACCCACCTCTTCCAATTTTGTCCAAACACTACACCATATATATATATATTGATAGATCTTATTATAGTCATTATTCATGGCAAAATCAATTAAATTAGAGCATAAAATAAAGATAATTGAATGTGCAATAAATTATGAATGGAGGGATCTAGCAAGAAAGTAAGATATCGGTCATTAAAATTGTCTTAAACTGAAATTTTAATTTTGTTTCTTTCAAATAATCTCTCTCATTGTTAAAAGTAATAGAAAAAGGTTGAATAAAAACTACGAAGGAATTTTATGACGGAGAAAAAAGAAAAAATATTTTCTCAGGTTTAAAAATGAAATTCTGGTAATAAAGATAATACATACTTTAGATGTGTAATAAATATGTTGGAAAGCTAAATGTTTTAAAAAAATAAATATTTTTAGAAGGAAAAATCCATATACTTAACAGATTGAGTGGTTGTATAAAACATATGTTGATTAATTGTTTTAATTGAAAATATAGAAACATTTATAACTTTTATATAGCAATTTATGGAAACACCAATTTCTATTCACATAGAGTGGAAACTGAAAGTAGTGTGATGTACACAATGCACCAAATTTATTTTATTCAGGGCTTGAAATAAAATTTCAACTTTTATGTTTGATCAGTTTTGGTATGACTGGAATCTTCATTTTCGATTTTTTTTTTTCAGTTATTTTGGAACTAGAACTTTTTACCTTGCAAGTTTTTAAGTAAAGGTTTTACAGAACTTTTATGGTTAAAAAATTTTCATTCAAAAGTTCTGTTGATTTCGCTAAAAACTATATGTAAAAATGACTTTGATTCTTCGCTGCTTAAATTAATGACAAATTAGAATCATGTGTGATTCATTTAAGACAATTAATTACTCTAATCTAAGCCTATTTACTGTTTATTTCTTATTTAGAATCATTTTTTGTAGGAACTTAAATAAATAAAAGTTAAACTTTTACGATAAACCTAGGACTTCATTACAAAAAAAGTTCCTTATAACTTTCATTTATAACTTTTTTTCCTAAAAGGTTTCACAGAAATCCTCAATCTCTGTTTTTATGTAATGATGCAAAAATAAAATACAAAATAAATCTAATCTATTTGCTAAACAGCAATATCAATCAATAACCACACACTAATTTATTAAGAAGTCTGAAGGTCGTTTGCCTGAGATTTTATGGAGAATTTCGTCTGAAAAGTAGTAATTTTTTCTCTCATAAGGACAAATATCTGTTTGAATTATAATTCACAAAAAAATACATACCTGATAAACTAGATATAACTGAATGATGCCACTTTGTCCACCTAAATTAGTACTACATCTTAAAGGAATGAATGGAATAAAATTAGAAAAACCAAAAAAAAAAGGTTCGTTAAACTAATCAGAACAAATTTGACGTTTTCCATAAATTATCCCTTATTATGCGTGAGGATACTCACTAGTCTTGAAACAACATAAAATGTTTTATTGCTTATACTTTGAAACATTTCATTCTGCATTTCGCTTCCAGTTCTGGTATAAGTAATCCCTCTTTCCGTATCCCATGTACCAATTTTTCTGAAACCATTGGTAAGTTCTATTATATCTATTGAAAAAAATGTCCTTTGGCCTGATTCATCAAATTTAATAGATCCACTCATTCCTTCTATTTTCACCTTTAAGAAAACAATAAATTTTAATAACATATAAATAATATCAGTTGTCACATAAAAACTAAACATTACTTTACTCTAGAATCACTCATAAAATATAAAATCAATTCAAGTTTGCATAATTCATGAATTAAAAAAAATGATGTAGAGATGGTTGACCGTTGATATAATATGAGAAGGAGTTGATCGGGGGGGTTGCGGTCAAATTAATACTAAATTAAACAAGTAGAATTATTTAATTTTTGCCGACATTTCGACCCACTTTGCAGGTCTTCATCAGGGCAACAAAAGATACAAAACATGGTGAAAATAAATATAAGTAGATATAAAATAAGAATAAGTTGTCTGGTACAGAAATAAAAAGATGATATCAGAGATATAGTGGGTGACAATGTAGTTAAAATATCAAGTATTATATCTTGAATACAATTGTATCGTGAAACGTCGGCAAAAATTAAATAATTCTACTTGTTTAATTTAGTATTAATTTGACCGCACCCCCGATCAACTCCTCAAATTAAAAAAAATGTTCAACAAATAAATTTTCATGTCAATAACATTAAATTTTATTTGGATTAAAAATTAGTGGGCCTCTTCAGTATGAGAAAGAAACAAATGCTTCCAGGGCCCTCTAAATTCTAAAGTAAAACTGTGATTAACTGCCACTTGTTTATCAATCAGTTAACCATCAAGTACAACAAAACCTTTTAAAAAAAGGTGGAATATTTAACTCATGGTCAGAGTATTTCAAAGTAAAATATTGAATGATCATCAAATTTTTGTTAATGTGAACGCGGAAGAAGAGTAATGATCCAATGATGATGAGCTTTCATCTAAAAAAAGCAAAATGTTTGCCACTATCAAGGAGAAATCACAGTCAGTGAGTCATCGATTTTAAACAAATTTTTTTGTTGATAGTATAGTCCATGGTACAGATCCGTTTTTATCAAATCATTAACATCCAGCTGAAACTTCATAAATAGCTTCGTCTTGTCGTAACCTAGAAAAGTTTTATATATGAAAATTCTCCAAATTGGGGCGTTTTCAATTTGGAAGACGTCAAACTTTGTCTATTTAATTAGGTACTAAAAACTCGTAAATACACATTTGTTTTCTACTTGGATCATAAGATAATTTGATCACAAAATAAATAAAAAAAGGTGGCCTACAAAAATATTCGGCCGTTTCTCCTATATATTTTACACGGGAGTGTAGGTCACGCCAAACGGCTCAATATTTTTGAAGGCCATCTTTTTTCTCGACTTTGTAGTCAAATTATCTTACTATCCAAGTAGAAAGTAAATGGGTATTTATGAGTTTTTAGTACCTAATTAAATAGACACAGTTTGCCGACCTCCAAATTGAAAACGCCCCAATTCCGAGAATTTTCGTAAATACAATATTTTTAGGTTACGATAAGATGAAGCTATTTACAAAGTTTCAGGAGGATCTTCATAATTTGATAAAAAGAGGCCTGTACCATGGACTATTTAGCTACATAACGAATACAATATTGGAGCAAAGCAACCGACTTTGTTCAGTACAGTGTGGGTTAAACATTTTTTTAGAGAGAAACAAATTTGATATTATTTTTTTTCAATTCATACTAAAATTAGAGTTTTCAAATTGAGTGCAGTTTACAGATTAATATATTTTTGTTTCTATCATCCCTATATATCCTAATCTGTCACATCTTTGGTCCAATGATGACATTTAATTAAAGATTCACTGTACATTTAATTTTTTGAAGCATATTGCTACTGTACAGATTTATAGTTTTAATTTTTGAAAATGTTTAGTTTGTAAAAAATTGAACGAATGATGGATAAAAAATTATATCATTACTTTTTTAATCTCATTTATTATTGAAGAACCGTTGAGCCATTTCTCTCGCCAAGAACATTGCAATGGCATCACTTCCACATCTTCTAGGCTACCTCTCCTTAATCTCTGGATAGCTTCAGAATATACTTTAATGGCATCAAACATTAATGCAGAGTTTGTCTGAAATAATGAAGAAAATTATTAATATTTTACATAACAATATTTCAGTCGGTTAGATTATATCTTTGATAAGTGTAAGTTTTCATTATATCTTTGAAAAGTGTAACCTTTCATTACCTAATTTAAAAAAAAAACATATTGAAAGCATGAAGAATCTGGGGTACATAATTTTGTAAGGAGGTACAGTTTCTAAACTGATGGTTTGTGCAAGGAGAGTAATCATTATTAATAAAGAGTACTTACTTTATAGTAGCCAGAAGGACCTCCCTGCCCTAGGATCGATCAATGGCTGATGTAGGAAAATAAATTATTATCTGATACAGCGGGATTAATAATTTTGTTGGTTTATTGCAAAAAGTAACAAAGTACATTTTTGATGAAGCTAGACTTTTAAATATAAATTTTTGAATTTTGATCATTTTTATCGATACAAAACTCATTAACTGCACCAAAATAACATAAACTCTATTATATTTAAAAAATACGTACAATAAGGCATAGGCGCAGACTTTCGATTTTGATTGGCTTTTTCTCAACTTTTTAAAAACGACAGATGTCCGTCTTTGATATGAGGCCATTCTATTGACCAATGTTAATAAATTAATGGGTTTTTGTTCGTTTTTGATAAGTAACATAAAACTTTTTAATTGTTGCTATTAAATAAAAATTGTAAGATTTCAATTCAGTGTTAATCCTGTTCCACTTCTATAATTATCAAAATAATTATAAGCTAATGTTACAAAACAATAAGGTTATTGCATATCTAATAAAATTAATTCAATATTATTTTATTGATTTATTTCATATATAAATATTGTGATATGATGATTATGGAATTACTTTTAGCGTATCTGCTGTTATGGGCACTTTATCCTCTAATAGGGCTTTATGGAAAAATACCCAGTCTTGGACGGTGCTTTGAACATAATGGCGCTGAGGATTCACAAGACGGAGGGTAGTAATGTTTGTTGTACTCAATTTTAATTCAGAATAGTCGAGCGTGTGGGCATCCTGAAAACAATTTTCGTAAGATTAGTGTGATAACTTTTAATATATGATTTTAAAATTAGGCATTCGGTCGTAAAACATGGTATCTGACATTTTTTGTGAATTGAAGTTCTTGGCAGCATTGGTTTTTTTCATGGCTGATTTTTTATATTGTTGATAGTATCTGTTGGAATTTTTATTTAATAGAATACTCGTTTGAGGTAAAGCATTTAAACTAACACAAATTTTAACATTATATTTTTTTAATTTTATTAACTACCATGTTTTACGATAGAGCACCTAAATATTAAGAACATTGTTTTATATTTCATGATTTCAGTCAATGGCAAGACAAAAAAAATAAGTAGTAAACATTTAATATATAAATGAAAATAATAAAATTTAAAAACAGGAAGATTATATTAATATTATTTTAATACAGGAAAATTAAAGACTCAGATACCAGAAGATCATTCTTAGTACAAAAAAAAAAAATAAATTTTTAAATTACCAAAGATGTTAAAACGTAGCTGTGGTAATCCCCGAGCATTTTTACTTGTTTCGCTTGCTTCAGCACATCAATGATCCTTTCAGTCGCACAGTCTAATACTATACGTGTCTCAGAAGTTTTCTGTATCTGCTTTAATATAGGCCTAGAAAAATTATTGCATAAAGTAAAATCTTTTTTATAAAATGAAAAAAAAAATAATAAACCGATAAAAATATTTAAAACTTTTAGGTGATTTAAACATGTAGCCATAAAGGAGAAGAGAATGAAAAATAAACTAAGGTGATTGAAACATTTTTGTATCCTGATTTTGATATAACCGTAGACAAATCTCAATGTAAAAATCTATTTAGAAAAAAGCTACCATGTTTAAGTTATTAATTTTTAAATTCATGATTTTCATAATAAATAGTGCAGAAGCAACAGATCATTTTATTTTCTAACAAACCTGACATCTCCTTCTGGTTCAAGTTGCCAAACAGTAAACGGAACATGTCCTTCCGATGTAAATGCTCTTTTATGCGATTTGAGCAATTCTTGAAGGCGAAGTAGACCAAAATCAGAATCGTATAGGATAGCATAACTAGTCCAATCCATATCTTTAATCACATCTACTAAAACCTGTAAAATATAGAGCACTTGATACAATTTTAAATAATAATACAATTATATAGAGTTATTCTTAAAAATATACAAAGATTTATTTGAGTTATAATATTTTATCAATATGTAGTCAAATACCTTAGACAGTATTGTAGGATCAGGATAGATATTAATCACTGATTTAGAAGGCATTGAAGGAGTGTCCCAAAATGTCTTGATCAACGGGATATCCATCGCATCACACACTGACTCAGTGATCCCTATGGCCTCTGGTGAGTGAAGACCAAAGATTCCACCAATGCCCTGGCTTGCCAAGTCACAGACTGCTCAATAAGATATATTTGTAAACAATTTTTATCATTGATAATATCAGTTAATTCATAAAACTAAAAACTATTCTTTAAAAAAATCTGGTGTAGTGCATCACACATCTTTCACTTACCATCCCACTTTCAATAGAATTTAACTTTTTCTTTAAATTAAAAAATCTTAAGTATATTACTTTAATTATAAATACAAAGCTTATAGGTAAGATAAATTATGACCATTCTCATCAATATACATTTTTGATTTATCAAGATGAAAAAAATTTAGTTTTCTATTTATTTTTTAATAACGTTTCTATGGAAAAGTTTATTAGTTACAATCACTCATGTCGAAGTGGAGCAAAAGTCTGAGAAAACTTGCTAAGGAACATGAAGATTTGGTGTCCTTTCACAAGCAAGTTGTACTGCAATGGATCCCTAGACACTGCGGCCTCTCTGGAAACGAGAAGGCGACCACTTGGTGAAGGAGGGGACCTCGAGTCCGCAGTTTGACTCCTCAGTCTACCTGAGGTAAAAACTTAACAAAGCCAATACTAATCAATGTTGGATTAAAAGGCATCTGCATCATAACTCCAGTGATGTTATCCACAGACTGAATTGACGAGACCAAGTCCTAATGTTCCACCTGCGAATGGGGTTCAAAGCCCATCCGTTCAGAAAGTTGCGAGGGAAGAGAAGATGAATGCGGAACATATCCTGCAAATATGCAAGATCTATTCCCAGCAAAGGAGTCTAATCTGGCCCTCTCCAACTGAGATGCAAATAAAACTCTACGGAAGTCTGGAGGACCTTAGGAGGAATACCAAATTCTTCATTTTAGTTTATTTTTTGGTTAGAAATTAAAATAGAATGAATAAATAATTAATAAAAGACATCTTCAATTACTATATAAATGATAGTGGATGATCCTCAGGCAGTCCAAAATAATATTCTAGGCCAATATCACAAGCTCCCCAACATCAACACCTAGTTCCTCGAGGAAGCTCCTTGTTCTTTTTGCAATTGTTCCGTGAGAGCCCAAACCAGAGGCCTCTCACGGATTTTCGGAGAGCATACTCCACAATTCCACTTCATGTAACCTCCTCAATTCTCCAGTTCACTCTCATCCTTCCTCAGATACAAAGATTCTATACCTTTATGTTAAAGATCTTAGTTGTTCTTCTTTCAAAGTTAGCAGTAACGTTTTGTATAGTAGAAAATTGATTTTAATTGGTAAATTGACTATCCTACCAATACTTTATAAATTTCATTTTCTCTATACTTTCTTTTATTTATTGTACATATTGAAAATAATATCAATATTAAATAATATGAATGCTAGTAAATTAAAAGCATTAGTTGTTAACTGATTTATAAAACTCTTAAAACTAATAGCATTATTAAGTATTACAGTTATATATAAAATATTATTTTAACTATAAAAATATTGCTAAAGATTATTTTATTCTAATATTTATTAATAAACATGAAAATTAAAATATTAATACCTCTCCTGCTAGTGTTATAGCTGTCAAAAGACAAAACATGTTCCACGTAAGGCTCGAGAATTAAGCTGTCCTCAGGATAGTTTTTATCTTGATTCACGTAATTGATATTTTCTATTGCTAATTTGAACACTTGCTCTTCTTCTGTTTTCTCTGAGGTGAAGAAGCCAGCTAAAGAAATATTAGTATCTATACTGCAAGTTGTCTGAATACAAAATTAGTAGCGAAGAACAGAAGATTGGCTATCTCATTACACTAATACTTTTATATTTGTTTGTTTTTTAAATCTCATAGTATTAAATTAATTTGTCAGAGGAATATTTATTTTATGTTTTAATTTTTATTTTACTGATCAATACTAGGAAGTGAATTTACACCTAATTACATATTATTTTCTAAGCATTGTACATCCTTCTTGTGAGTTTGTTTTATGTTTCATACAATTCAAAAGCAATTGAAGCATATTTTTTTCTTCTAAATATTTGGAGGTTATCTACATATTATCATCCATATAAATTAATTAAAATTTATATTTAAAATTGAAAAAAAAATTTATAGCCAACAGAAGAAAAGATTTTTATATTAAAAGTATTTTAACAAAAAATTCCATGAATTTTGGAGAAGATAATTTGTCCCACATGCTTGAGTTAGAAATTCTATGTAATTAATTTACCAAGATGGTCTTCAGTCATTTCTACTACTAATTTTATTGTTTATTACAGAATTCATCGTATAGAATTTAGAGATGGGTCTTAGTGAAATCATTTATTTAATCTGTAAATTGCCTAAAGTCAAATTAATGTGTAAAGCCCTAGTGTTGAAACACATTTCCTAATTTTCCCATGTCACCTACCACCTCTTCCCAAATAATTTGAAAACTAATACCAACACCTTAAAGTTAATAAATTGGGATTTTACTGATACAATACCGTCTTTAAATGGAAAAAAAATTATTTTGATTAATATCCACAATGGGTACTGGTACTGTTGTTGCTACAAGTGGAGAGACGTAGTCGGACAAGTGGTCCTTTCTTGCCATATCTTGCCACTGGGTTCTATCAAAAGTGGTAGTCACTGGGGTCACTGGGGAATAAATATTAACCAACCCAGGCAGAAGCCAAATAAAGTTTTTCAACCGGCACTCTGGAGGATCCATACCCTAACTTCCTCGGCCATCACGTCCTCTTTACAACAGGTAACAGGAAAGTTGAAATCCAAAAGAGATGAAGCAATAAAATATTCCTATACCAAATAAATACATTGTAATTAATTAATGTTCCCAGAAATTTTGTTCCAACTTTAGAAATTGTTTGCTAAATACAATTTTATCCTCCTCTTCCCTCCCCAGAAAAAATTGTTACAACGTCCAGCACCTTAAATTATTACATAATTTATATCTAAGTTTTTTGTATTTTTTTCATCTCAAATATACAAATTGTTATAACTAAAATTTAAAATTTTATCTTTGGGATTTAATTTCATTTACATTTCTCTTATTTTTTACATATTTACAAAAAAATTGCATAAATATTTAGTTTTTTATTTCACTTAAAAATCCAGTCCTTATTTATTACCAAAAACTACAGTTGTGTAAGTTGAAAAAGTTCTTTCAATGTAAACTGAAAAGAAAGGAACTGTTTGTTTATTTGTACTGCCTTTTCTTTAGAAACTTATTTTTTCTTCCTAAGCATTTGCTTTTTTTTCTAACTAAAAACTTTAGAATTAAATTATTCAAAATAAAAATGGTTAAAATTATCTTAAAACAATAAGTCGGAAACAAAATATGCAAGTTGAAGAAAATTCAGTTCCGGTAAATAATTTTATGAATTAATGATCTTGCTGACAACTTTATTTTTCAGTGAATATTTATTTTATTTATTAATTAATTTTTTCTATCTAATGTTTATATTCTAAATGCTAATATTTTTTAATCTTAATATTAACATAAACAATTAATATATTAAAAAAGTAATTATATATAAATAATATATGTACATAGCAGAGTTGTATTTGAATAAAGTATTATTAGTATTTATTAATTGTTAAAAAATTATTATTTTATTCTAAAAATACTGATGATATTATCATGAAATAATTTTTATAAAAGTTAATTTTTTTATAAGGAAGAAATGGGAATAGTGAAGGGAACTTAATATATCAATTGAAAATATTTTTCATTTTATAATGAAATTTTTTATTTATGGTTGTGTTGTTTTAAAATTAAACGGAAACAAACAAAACAAATCTCTTGTAAAACAATTCCTAATTTACCGATTGGTATCCTCGTTGAGGAAGCACAGTTCAAAACAATTAGAAACAAATAACATGATAACTGAACATAAACCATGATGAGAGAAAACAGATCCAGCAGACAGAATTCCAAATGTGCCTTCACCGTGGACTGAAGTTTGAGTGTTGTCATGGCAAAAATAGAAATGGGCGAGCTGCCAAAAACTCTTTTGATTCATAAATCGGGACCTATTGATTAGTATTTATTTTTTTGACATTAGTTTCTTAATATATTTTAATTTAAATAATTTTATTTATTTTTGTTTGATTAATTCAAAAGCATGAAATTACATTATGTTCTCTTTGAAGTAATTTTAAAATATCCAACCTGGAATTATGTTATATATTTACTAAGAATTCATACTGATGTGTTAAAATCTAAAAATATACTTGGAATGAAACATTAACTCTTAGATATTTCATAATGACTGAAGAATTTTGTTTTTTTTAATTTTAAGAGCCAAAAAGCTATCAAAAACAGCAATAGACTTTTTATAACTCTGATAGATAAATTAATTTAACATATTTTTAACTTCCAATTTTTTTTAATAATATAAATAAATATATGCATCATTTTTATAATTTATAAGAAGTGTTCCTTGATTTTTTACTTATATAAAAATAATGTTGATTATTAATTTTCTTGTCATATTTTTTAGGCTCAGTGCTATTTTTTATTTATTTTTTAAAAAAGTATTACGTCAGAGGTCATCAATAACAAAAAAAAAAATGCTTACAAACTTACCATTATATTTAAATATTTATATATAACTTTTAGAAATCAAAACAACATTCTATGAAATAAGGGAATGATTAAATGACAAATTACAGAATAATGATATATTTTAACGATTTTTATGAAATGATGCATGGTAGGTAGAAAAATTTTGCATTAATTTTAAACCAAAATTGTTGTTATATAATAATTGTTTTTCTGAAATAGAATAAGGACTATATATGTAACAGATGGTTTATAATGATATATTTTAAAGAAAAATAACTAAATTAAATTTTTTTTGCAGAACCTTGAAAATGGCTTGAAAGACTGAAATGTTGAATATTAAATAAATAAAGTGAAAACCTTAGTTATAGGTGACCTTTGGCCTAATACATAAAAAAAAATTTAAAAAATAGTTGATTATTAATTTAATTTCAAACACATTAAATTAATTACTTAAATAATTTTTGCTCTTATCCAATTCTCAAGGATCAAGGTTTGAGTCCGAGTAGTACAAATATTATTTATTCTGTTTCATAAGCCATGGATTGACCCTGAGCCACATCCTGACTTTAAGTTCTGTACTTTTAATTAATTAATTGATTAAGGTAAAAAAAACAGGTAGTTGAGCATGATCTAAGGCCAAACGACTCCATGCACAACCATTGCGCTTCAAGCAATATTTCCTAACAAAGTATTGAACCAAAGACCTTCCATCGGTTGTATTGGTACAGGTTTTTAAAATTTATTTCTATGAATTTAATTAGTGAAGATAAAAGAAAAAAATGATGTTTTGGATTTAATTGAATACAAATTAATATCTTAATTTTTTTTCTATAATTGTCTTTCTTTTTACAATAAATAGAATAAATTAGGAAAAAAATAAAACTAAAAGTTGAAAACATAAATAAACAAAAAATGTTACGAACCAATTGCTGAGGAATATTTTCATATTATTCAAATAATACAACACTTAATTATCAGAGCGATAATGGTTAAACCTGAGGAGTGTCTCTTAATTTGTCGTTATGAAATATAACATGTTTTTATTTGATAGGATTTAAATTCAAACTGTATGATCAACTTCCGACTGAAGCTTTCTCAAGTAATCAGGAAAGTGTGGTCCTTATTTTACTTCTCAGTATATTAGATTTTGTTAGTACAACATCAATTATCTGGACTGTGTAAATCTCAGCAATACCTGGTAAAATACAATATCAAAAAACATTAAATTAAAAAAGTTTTAACCATATAGGGAATATAATATTAATGAATATCTTCTATAAACATATAATTCTATAAAATATACAGTATAATATTTTACAAACACACACTAGAGATCAGATATAACAATTCAGGAACTGTTTACAATACTTTTCTACTTTGATAACAATCCACCATCTAAATAATTTTCATCTAATAATATATTATAAGCTTCTTATAAATTATTATAATTAAATAAATTGACTAAAACCTAAATAAATAAAAAAATTCATAAATAAAAAAACATCTTAGCTCAAACACTTTATTTTAGTAATAATGTCTCAGAAAATAAAATGTACTTTTCAGATCACTTTAAATATTTTTATTTAATGAAGGACTTGATGCCTTCATAAGCAGATTCAATCTCATTATTAGAAATCAGTTAAAATTGAACCTCCAAGCTGTTTGGAGCTGGACTGGTTAGGAGAACATAATATGATGGCGGAACTGGAAATATAATGCAATATTTTATCTTTTCTATAAAATTCATAGTCCACTTATTGACAGGAAGTGCGAGCTATGTAAGATGAAACAGAACAAAGAACAAGTATGTATTGGAGAAAGAAGTAGGGATGTTGAAAACATATTGTTATATCAAAACTTTTTACCGTTATTTATTATATCTATATCAAAACCAACATTTTTTCTTAAGAAAAAAAATAAAAAACACAAAAAAAAATATGTCTACAAGAAAAGTATTCTCATTGGTTATCGGATAAAACAAGATTATTTTGTTTATTAAACAATATCTGAGAAATATTGGTTTAATTAATTTTTTTTTATACTTTTACTTTTTTTTTTGTTTTTGATGATATGTAAATTATTTTTATATGTTTCAGTCATTATTAATTCAGTTATGATTTTCTTAATTTTTTATGTTGAGCAATTTAATAAATTTTTCTCTAGTTCTTTGTAATAAATGCTTATTACATATTTACATATTATATTTTTATATATTTATTGCAGAGATGGGCTAAAATTGTACCAGAAACGTTTTAAAAAATGTATATTGCTTAAGCAATTTTAACAAGTCTTTTTAATTTACTTTATTTTAAAATAATATTATTTAACATTTTTATTTCAGTTATTAATCAACTAAAAAATTAATCATGATCTATATGTAAGTTTAAAAAATATCTAAAATTTTTATATAGTCATTTTGAATGAATTTGCAATATTCATTGAAACAAATAATTATTATTGATCAAAATTTATGAATAGGATTGAGTGCTCTTTGCACGTATATTGTTACTAAATCCATTCAAACGCATGTATTCCTCTTCCATATTTTCATCACCAAAGAAACCTCTATCTTCTTCTTCCTCTTCTTCAACGCCTTCGATTTCAGGGCAATCGGCTAAATCTTCTTCGGCTACAGATTCTTCCTGCGGTTTCCGAACTGGTTTAGTTGTGCCATAACATTGAATGGCGAATCTCAGCTCAAGGAAAAATGCCTCACTTGGTGATATCTAAAAATCAAGAAAAACAACCGTAAAGACTTTTAAAAAAATTTAATAATTACATAATTAGTACAAAAAAGTAAGATAACAAATATTATCACATCTGTATTTTAAGTTTACTTTTCTTGTAAAATTATTTTGGTACTGATCATTATCTAATTTTATATGCTCTTTATTGAATTATAAACCTTGAAGTTTAAATATGCTTAGTTTTTTAAATAATTAGTGTTAAATGGTTGCATATTGTTCGAAACAGACAAGAGTTAAGAAAACTGATCTTAATATTTGGAAAAAATAAGATGCATGGTTCGAGAAGTACCAAACTTCTTCAAACAGAGCGGAAAGGTGGATATTCATTCATGGTCTACAACATAATAAATTTGAGAACACTCGGTCTCTGCCATTAGTTGCTTTCTATGAGATTTGATTTCAAAGTAAATAGATCACCGAAGTATGATCATCGTATCCTCGTAACTCGAAATGGCGGCCAAAAACTCTGTGTTGCTAAAGCGTGAAGTGCTGAAATGGTTTTAATGAAACTTTCCTTGAAGCCTTCTTCTTTAAGCCTTATAAATTTATGTATATAAGATATTTCTCCAAAAAGAATCTGGAAAAAAGTTACGATGAATACAGAATTTATTTGCAAATTACTCAAAATGTTAACTTTTTGTATTCTTATTTAATCATTGAAATAAAACCAAATGGTGCAGAGATATGGCGTTTTGAACTTGTAACATTTGTTCTAATGCAAAGTTGGTTTACTTTATTTTTATATAACTGGAAAATATTAGATCTATGGAAGCAGTTAAGATTAGATTGATATCTGAAGAATAATTTGATTTTGTAAATTTTTTAAACAAAATATGAAAAAAAATCTTAATGAGGCATTTTTTTATATTTAATTTTTCACTGAAGTGGTAAGGAATTTAATATGATGCACCAAAGATATTTGATACATAATATTTGGAAATAATAAACCATTGTGTTGAAAAATTTGCAAGCGTTTTGATTTATTTTTATATTCTGTTTCACATGTGATCGATTTTTTTTCGTCTATTCCATATTAATATTAAAAATCAATTGAGTGGCCTCATATCAAAGGCAGAAATCTGTAGTTTTTAAAAACTTGAGAAGAAGTCAATTTGCTTCAATTTTAACCAATCTAATATTTTTTAAAATAAATTATAATAATGATTCAACTTGAACATTCTTAAATAAAATCATCAGAAAAAGTTTGAGTTGATTCTATAAAATAAAAATTGTCTTTTTCTCCACTTTCTTAAAATGACAGATGTCCGTTGATATGAAGCCCCTCAATTATTGAATATATTAACCAATATTAAAATTAATTTAAAATCTATAATTTTATTTTTATTAATTAATCCGGGGAGACGGCGATGAAGCAGTGAAAATTTATTAATTTTCTCAGTTAAATATGTAATCTATTTTGATTATTTCATGGTGATATTTCTTCCGTTTCCTTTCATCTTTCTTCTTTGGATTGAATCTGTGTGACAATCAAATATTTCATCATTTTGGTGGCATTTTGAATAGCACCATGTAATTCTGACATTGTAGCAATAAGGATGGAAAATTAAACATTATTATGTAGAGTTAAAAAAATGTCTAAAATACGCAGTTGGGAGCTTAAAACCTTTTTGGATCAACTCCAAATATTTTTTTTTTTAAATCATGAAAATTGGTTCAGGAGTTTTCATGGTTCACAGGAACAAACAAAAAACAGGCTGTCATTTTATAGTAAATAATTTTAATTTTATATGGTTTCCCGAACCTGATGTGAACACATAAACAAAGTTTCTAAAAAATGATGAGCTATTTCAAATCCAAGGAAAAAATTCATATCTCCTGAACAATTTCATGAATGTAGTCCATGGTACAGACCTCTTTTTATTAAATTATTATTATTAACATCCAGAAACTTCATGAATAGCTTTATGTCATCGTAACCTACAATCATTTTATTTACGAAAACTCATGAAATCAGACCGCTTTTAATCTGGATGTTGGCAAACTTTGTCTATTTAATCAAGTACTAAAAACTCATAAATACTCATTTAATTTCCACTGGGATTGTAAGATAATTTGTTCATAAAATCTAGAAAAAACGGCCTATAAAAATATTGATTTGTTTGGCCTATATAATCTTGTTATTTTGACATTTAGGAGGTGTATTTCATGCTAAACGGCTTAATATTTTTGAAGGCTATCTTTTTTCTCGATTTTGAGCTCAAATTATCTTACAATTCAAGTGGAAAGCAAATGGATATTTAAGACTTTTTAGTACTGAACTAGGCAAAGTTTGCCGATTTCCAGATTGAAAACGTCCCTATTCTGGGAATTTTGATAAGTAAAATAGTTGTAGTTCACGACGAGAAGAAGCTATTTATGAAGTTTCAGGTGGATGTTAATAATTTGATAAAAAAAGAGTCTGTACCACCGACTAATGTAACAACTGATCTTTGACCTCTGAAATATTCGCAAGGCATATTTTAATATCTGATATAAAAAAAATACCTTCTCTTCAACTGCAACTTTTCGGACATTCCAAAGAAATTCTAAAATTGCCACAAAAAATGCTGCGACACAACCAACCAACAGAACCAAGAAAACACCACCCACGTTGGCTATACCCAGCTCTGAAGAACTTGCAGCGTCTTCATCTGGTTTCTGAAAATATTTGTTATTTAAAAACAGTTAATAGTTATAAATTTAAATTATAACCATACTACAGAGGGCTAAATACCGGGCAATCTGCTTTATCCTCGCTGTGTTTCCACCATTTATCCTTTAATTGTTGAAGCCTACCGGATTCCTGCATTTTCAGAACTGAACCGCTGATAGCAATACGGTAAGGTGAATCTAATGTTAATCACAATAAATTACTAGCAGATGAGAAAAAAAAAAATTTTTTAACCATGAAGATGAAGTAAGCCACAGTTCATTAATTTTAAGCATATTACAAAATTCACTTAAAAGTTTTTATTGTTTCGATTATGATTAATGAAACATCTTTATGGTTAAGTTAAAAATATCATTAGATCAGGAATTCCCAACCTTTCTATAGTTTAGAGCACATTAATTCAATTAAGTCAACCAACATATAAAAGTTTTTTGTATTTTTTTATTTTGTCTTTTTTTGATAATTTATATCCTTCTATAAAATAAATAATTATTTAATGATACATTAAAAATATATACAAGATATGAAATTACATTATAAATTCTAATGTGATCTTTGCGTTACATTTCAATGGTCATTGTTAATAATTTGGAGTATATGATAATAAAGTTAAACATGGATCTACACATTTTAAGATTTAAAAATTAAATTTGAAACAAAAATGAATACAGGGTGTCTCAGTTCTTAATGGCCAAACTCTGGAGGGGAGGGAAGGGGGATGATTCTAGACAATATTTCTAATAAAAATGTTGATTTGAAGAATGGGCCGATTCCGAACTGAAAAGGAGTTAAGACTAATTTTGTGTTGTTTTTTTAGGGTGGTCACGTTTTTATTGAATAAGATAGAATTTCTCAAAAACTGTTCAAGATAATTAAATTTTAAGTACCCTATCGTAAAGCAGACAAAATGTTTTTTGAGAAAACATTGATTTAGAAATTTACTATGTTCAATGATGAAAGGAACTTTCACAAAGTCTAATAATGCAAAGCCTAACATTATGTTGAGTTCTTTCACAAATTGGGATTACTGAGTTGTAGTCGACATCCCCCAGTATTTACTCCTTTATGTGACATTGGGTGAGGGAATGAGAAGGAATATATAATATATAGGAATGTGAGGTTACACAATGAATTGCACTCAATTATGCAGTGAACAAATTATTCATTGAAAAGTCTCATATCGATAAACAATCGATGAAGAAAGAAGCAGTAAGAAGGACGGAGCAGGTAGCAACAGCTGGAGGAGGACGCGGGAGAGAGGAGAAGGCAATTGAGGCTGGGACACAGAGGCGAGAGGGCTCTAGGCCTGGACAGGAAAAAAGGAGGTTGTCAGAAGAGAGAGGCACTGCATAGAAGATTAAGAAGCTCAAGCCTACAGTTATAAGACTTTAATAGATTCACTTATTACAGTTGTAAAAATAAATTGTTTTGTTAGACAGGAGTGAAAAGTCATTTATTTATTTAGTTGTCCCATAGGCCTCACAATTGAAGAATAACAAACCAGATGAGTCAATTCATTTAAAGTGTATTTACTAAGTCCCACATTTCATATATATATTCTTATTGTTTCTTGTCACTCAGTGTCACAAAAGGTATTAGATTCCCGAATTCCAACGACAGTTAAACACCCTCAAAAACTCTATATCTAGTGCCGGGGTTTTGTTTTAATATTCACGAGTGTAAATAACCTAGTGGCCGATAAAGCGGAAGGCTATTTGCAATTCCCACCAAAACAAATTATTAACAATTAACTTTTATCAGGTTATTTACAGAGTTATGCTGCTTGGGTACGGGTACTGTAACTGCAGAATTAAAGTGGTCGTATTAGACCTCATCAAAGTCCTTTTTGTAGTAGATGGCCTCTAGTATTTACTCCTAAATGTGGCATTGAGTGAGACAATGAGGAGTGTATAGGAACGTAGGGTCGCTCTATGAATTGGACTCAATTGTGCAGTGGAGAAGTTGTTGAGTGAAAAGTACCAAATTAATAGATGATTGATGAAAAAGTTACAGCAGAAAGTGTCCAGCAGGTTGTAAATAACCTATTAAGAGTTAATAGTTAATGACCTTTTGGCGGGAATTGTAAATATTCCTTCCGTTTTATCAGGGAACTAGGTTATTTACACTCATGAATATTAAAACAAAACCCCGGCACTGGATATAGACTTAATGAGAGTGTTTAACTGTTGTTGGGAATTCGGGAACCTAATACTTTTGTGACACTGAGTGAGAAGAAACAATAAGAATGTGAGACTTAGTAAACACACTTTGAATGAATTGACTCACCTGGTTTGTTATTCTTTAATTGTGAGGCATATAGGACAACTAAATAAATAAATGACTTTTCACTCCTGTCTAACAAAACAATTTATTTCCACAACTGTAATAAATTGACTCTATTAAAGTGTTATAACTATAGGCTTGATCTTCTTAATCTTCAGTGTAGTAGGCTTCTCTTCTCAGGTAACCTCCTTCTTTCGTGTCCCAGCCTCAAGTGAGTTCTTCTCTCCTTCTCCAGCTGTTGCTACCTGCTCGGTACTTTTCCTTCTTCCTTCTTCGTCAATTGTTTATCGATATGAGACTTTTCAATGAATAATTTGTCCACTGCATAATTGAGTACAATTCATCGTGCAATCTCACATTCCTATATATTCCTTCTCATTCCCTCACACAATGTCACATAAAGGAGTAAATACAGGAGGCTATCTACTACAAGGTGGCAACAGTTGGAGAGGGACAAAGGAAGACCACTTGAGGCTAGGACGTGAAGACGGAAGTATGTGACGGCAGGAAAGAAGCCCACTCCACCGAAGATTAAGAAGATCACAAGCCTACAGTTATAAGACTTTAATAAATTCATTCATTACAGTTGTTGAAATCAATTATTTTGTTACACAGGAGTGGATGGCCTTTTTATTTAGTTGCCCTATATGCCTCACAACTGAAGAACAACAAACCAGGTGAGCCAATTCATTTCAAAGTGTATTTGCTCAGTCCCATATTTCATTTCATATAAATATATTCTTATTATTTCTTGACGCTCAGTGTCACAAAAGCATTAGGTTCCAGAATTCCCAACAGCAGCAAACACCCTCAAAAAGTTTATATCCAGGGCTGGGGTATTGAATTAAAAATTAAAATCCACGAGTGTAAATAACCAAGACCCCCGACAAAACAGAAGGTTATTTACAAAGTGTTTTATAGCAGCTGGGAATGATTTTACAAATATTGTGAAATGATCTTTGATGCCCAAACAGGAACAAACAAAAACATAATAGATTAATATAATACATTAAAGAAAAGAAAATAAGTTTTATTTTTGACCAATGAAGCTATTATATAACAAATTATTATAATACATTATAGTAGATAGCCCCCGTATTCACTCCTTTATGTGACATTGGGTGAGGGAATGAGAAGGAATATATAGGAATGTGAGGTTGCACGATGAATTGTACTCAATTATGCAGTGGAGAAATTATTCATTGAAAAGTCTCATATCGATAAACAATTGATAAAGATGGGAAAAGGTCGAGCAGGTAGCTGGAAATGCAGGAAGGAGCGGAGGCCTTGAGGCTGACACGAAGACGAGAGGACGTTACCTGAGAAGAGAGAGGCAGTACATTGAAGACCAAGAACATCAAGTCCACAGTTATAAGACTTTAATATATTCATTTATTATCAGTTGTTAAAATAAATTGTTTTGTTAGACAGGAGTGAATAACCCTTTATTTAGTTGTCCTATATGCCTCACAATTGAAGAATAACAAACCAGGTGAGTCAATTCATTCAAAGTGTATTTACTAAGTCCCACATTTCAAATATATATTCTTATTGTTTCTTCTCACTCAGTGTCACAAAAGTATTAGATTCCCGAATTCCCAACAACAGTTAAACACCCTCAAAAGTCTATATCCAGTGCTGGGGTTTTGTTTTAATATTCACGAGTGTAAATAACCTAGTTCCCCGATATATAAGCGAAAGGCTATGCACCAATTCCCGCCAAAACAAATTATTTATACTTAAACGTTTATCAGGTTATTTACAACATTGCATATGTTAGGTTAACATAAAAAAACTTAAAGTTTTGAAATGAATTGACACTTACTGAAAGGCATTGCTATCCCGTATCCTTTGGAATCGAGAAGGCCACCAACTTGCATTAATGAGCAATATTTCTCTTTCTGATACTCAATAGTTGTTGATTCCATGAAGAATGCATACGCTCTTTTACCACGTAATACTCTTTCAACTCCTTCATCGTTGCTCTTAGTGAAAACTGAGGGGCGAGCTGATTCCATTTGGCTCCAAATTTTTTGGTAAAGACTCACATTACTATCCTGTCACATTAAAAATTAAATAAGTCTTTTAGTTAGCCATTTGTTTTTTCTAACATAGTTTGAATCATTAAGATTAAAAATATACTGGTTAATTATTTTTAATAATGAACTATTGTAATCATCCAAAAAATTTAAGGTTTTACATTTCAGAACACCTAAATCAAATAAAAATTATTTTGTCCGTCCGCCGTCTGCACATTTTCTCAGAGACTACTGGATCGATTTTTTTTCAAATTTGGATTTAAAGTCAGAGGTCACCCGAGGATGATCCTCCTACATCTACATTACTATCCACCCCTTTCCTTTCAAGATGGCGGCCAAAAAACCTGTGTTGTTATTGACTGTAGCGTCTAAACAAATGTACCAATTTCAATGAAACTTGGCTAAAGTCTTCTTCTCGAGGCCTTTTAAATTTTTCTCTATAACACTTCAATGAAAAGAAGTGGGATAAAAATTATGAGAGGTGGTAAAATTAGATTGCCGAATAACTCAAAAAGTATAGACTTTTTTGCTAATATTGTAATAGTTATTTAAAAGTTTATGAAATTTTCTATAAAAAAAAATCATTAAAATCGGACAATTTGGAGCAAAGATATGGTCTCTAGATATTTTTTATATATTCTAATGCAAAGGTCATACATAAACTTTGATTTGTTTTTTTATTTTTGAAAGTGTTACTGAGGCAATGCTTTTTTTTTAGCAAATTACTATTGGTGAAAAAAAAAAAAATGTTTAGGCCAGTAATTGGCCTACCTTTTATTTACATTATATTTTATATACAATATTTATTATTTTATATACAATCACCTTTTATTTCTTTTTCATTATGTTACTAGAATGGTAATGTTACTTTAGATGTATAATTGTTTGGAATTAATTATTTAATAATTTTTTTTTTCTTTTTTTCTTTAGGAATGAGTCACGTCAAATAAAATCAAAACATTCAAAAGAAGTAGTTTATGTTTTTACTTTCCTACCTGTACTAGGTAAGGAAAGTATTGCAATCGGGTCAAATTTCCGATATACGGTTTTCGATGGTTCTGTACGTTTCAGAGCCTCCTGAGTCTGAAAAACACATTTTTAGCCATTGGTCTGTCTGTCTGTGCCAAGATTTTCTTGGGCACTACTGAACCAATTTCTTTGCTTCTTTTTTTATTTTGTAGGGTTTTGACTACTGATGATATTAGAGAGTATTGAAATTTTTACACTGATCTACCTTAAGCCAGTTTACATTGCTTTAGTTTATTAAATAAATCGTACTGAAATCTTTTCTTTGATCAATTTTTAGGAAAATAAATCTAATTCAATTTTTTTTTTGTTTCCTCATGAACATATGTAAAGATATAAAAACTTTCAAATTATCTTAGAATTAGATAATATATATAAATAATATAAGAAAAGACAAATAAATAAAAGTTTCATAAAATGGGATAAATCAGTACCCTAAAGAAATTAGCGGAAGACCCTCCTTTGAGTACGCCATATTTAATTTTATTCTGATTTGCAAGGTCTTCAACGCTTCCAATGGTGGCTTCCATTCTGTCCATTGTTAAAAAAGCTGCTAGGTTGGCTGTGTAAGAGGAAATCATAATAAGTACAAAGAACCACCACATTCCAGCTACGACCCTCGTTGAAAGTGCTCTGGAATATTTAGTACTTATTGTTAATAATTTAATCAGTTATAATTTATTTAATTAAAATTAACGTTTAAATCTCAGGTAATTTAAAGTCACCTTTAAAAAAAAAGCCAATTTACGGACACCCTGTATAACAGAATAACTAATATTGACAAATATAATTAAAAATTGTATAATACTTTCAACATAATCGATTTTGCAAGAATAGACCCCTTATTTTCTTTTCTTTTTTTAAATAGTCAATGTTTTGAACTCTTGTTCATTTTCATGACCAAATGTCTTTTCTAGCAATTTTTATGATATTTCTCAATTATTGGTTAAATTGACTTATCTTCATTTCATTTTTTGACATATAAATTATAAGTTATGTCATGAAGATGAATAGCAGTTCGAAAAGTTGACCATTTAATTTTTAAAACTAAAAAAAGGAGTCAATTCTTAGAAAATCAATTATGTAGAAAGTATTATATTAAAGTTAACATACTCTTGAAAAAATAAACTTTTAATATTTAAAGTTATTTTATTGTTTGTAAAACTCGATAAAGTTTACGTAATATTAAAAGAATAGAAATTATTTTCTGTTAATCATAACTTAATAAAAATTATCATGCCATTAATCTGGAAAGAAACTTGTAACAAACTTTTGTTAAAAACAATTTCGTATAATAAAAGCCGTCATACAATTATTTATTATTTTTTTTTTTATGGGTTATTAGGAAAGAGCAATGATATCTTACTGCGGTGCAATATCAGAGCCTTGTTGCATGAGCGAACCAATATTGTGCCAGATAGCATTGTATATAGCCAAAGTGTTTTCAAGCTCGTCTGGATCTTTGTTGCATGGGTGAGGATTTTTCCATTCCATGGGAGAGATCCTGTAACAATGTTAGTTTGGGTTTTTGAATAATATCGCATGCTTCATTCGAATGGAGTGTGCTTTTCTTTTCCAGGCTTCCTCTCGTAGAATGCAGCTGCTACATCCATAACTTAACGTATATTTAAAATCTAATAAGGATATTAACTCGACACAAGGGTTCATAAAGCTTTAGTCATAAAATTACACTTTGATGCAATGAATTCTCGTTAGGCAGTGAGTCACCTTATATGTCACATCCCACTCAATTTCAATTTATTTTTAATTGTTAAAGTTAATCATATATAAAGGAACTAGACCAAAGAACTAACCTGAGAACAAAAATAAAATGCGCACAGTTTGTTTACATCTTTATTTATTTGTTTGCCACTCTCCCTTTCCTATTAGGCTTTACATACAGGTGTCTAAAGTAGTGGAATGCTATGCATGACTGTAAAACAACCCACTACTGAAAATAGAACAGTATACATATTTGAACATAAAGACTTTTGAACATAAACAAGTTTTCATCGGTGATCTCGTGACAATGGTTAATGTTGGCTTCAGGCATTCTTCTTAGCGCTGGTCACCTGGCTCCAAGATTGAAGTGGGATGGATCCACTGCCTCCTTCCAGCTATAAGTGAATTTCTTGAACCGCAGGTAGTTCTCCTTACTCAACAACTGAGGAAATTCATCCTCAGTTAGGATGTAAATTCCTGCGGTTCTCATCATTGTTGTCTTTATTCCTTCTATTTATTCCTTGCAGTGCAGGTCATGACCATGGGCTCGACAGTCTCCAGAACTCCACATGTGGGACATGGGAGGTCTATGTCCTTACCAAAGCTGTGTAGCTTAGCTCGAAAATCCCCATGCTCTGTAAGGAATTGTGAAACCCAATAGTCCTGAAGAGCCCATTGTGCATCTAGCCAAGATTGTATGGTGTGGAAATATTTCCTAAGGGTAGTCCCTTTTGAAGTTGCCATCCACCGACGGCTCCATTCCTCAATTGTATCCTCCCGGATTATCTTCTTCCATTTGTTCGGGTTTTCCAAAATCCTCACCAGTAGGTATTCTGGAACTCCTGCCAAGCCTTCTTTCTTGAACTTTTGTTTAGTCACATCTTCTCGCCAGAGGAGCTCAAGAGGTACCGCCCCCACTAAGACCTGCACTCTTCAAGTGAAGTTCTAAATGCTCTGGTGACAGGCAACAGGGCCATTCTCTGGGTTGACGCCAACCTTTTTCTTTGTCGTTGTGTGGGGATCCGGTACCAGGAGGGGGATACATGCCTCAAGATACCATGTACAACCCCATTAAAGATCGTCATTGTTGCTGAAATTTTTTGTGGCACCCTTCAGAGTCCACTAATTCTTTAAGCGATATAATAGGATCTTTACCCATTTTTGTGCAATATATATAAATCAAACACATTTTTCCTTGCTATTATCATAAATTTGAATTATTTTAATTTTAATTTTGACCTTAAATATTGAAATAACATATTATTACCACGTCACCCAGTTTTATAATTCCTACTATAAGGAACAGTTATAATTATCTATGCAAAAATAAATTCAACCAATGAAATAAAATCAAAGAATGCACATTGATTGCTTAAATTTATCACTTAATCCACTGTTTTCATCTTTGTCTAGTTCTAGGTTTGAGCCTCTTAGGAGCAATCATAATTTTTTGTGTATGAAAATAATCACCTAAATTCAAAAATGTCTAGTTCAAAGATATGTATGTAAGTCAAATTAAAAAAAAAAATAATTGATCTGACAACTCTCTTTTGGTGGAATAGTACCACTTTTATGCAATGTGTTGCAGTGTACCTAGAATTTGCCATGAGGCATATAAAAGTCTCACTTTAAGATAAAGAGAAATATTTTTTTAACGTCAAGAATATAAAAAATCATTGTAAGTTATCACACAATTGTTTATTATTTCTTAAGAGTTATATATAAAAAATACATGGTATCACCACTCACACGACGTCCCTAACTGCTTTGGACGCAAAGTCCTTTAATTTTTACTCAAAAAATATTGTTTTTGTAATAGTGAAATTTAAATATTGATATATCAATATTTTTCCAACTTCACACATCACAAATTCACCTAACAAATTTATAAAAATGCATTAATTTTTTTATAGGGCTTATATGTCTTTGATAGAATTTTCTTTAAATTAGGTGATTTATTCAAACACAAAAACATATGACTCTTCCATAGATGCTTGAATCTAAACATAGACAAAGATGAAAACATTGGATTAAATGTTAGATGTAAATGATGAAATGAGCATACATTGTTTGGTTTGATTTTAGGTATAGTTTCTTTAAATATGATTAACTTTTCAAATTAACAATGAATCATAAATAAGGAAATATGACATACAAAGATCAAGTTAGCAGGTGTTAGAAAAGGTTAATAATGGATATTGCAGATCTCGATCAGGGGCTAAGAGGGAAGACCTACTTTGGCAAAAGATCACAGCCTTGGGCCATAAGAGACCCGATAGAAAACCAAAGGCAGTTCTGGAGTGAGAAGATACACTCAAGCTCGGTTGGATCTGGATTACACGGGTGAGGGTTATCCCATTCATCGGGTGTGCATCTGGAACAAATATTATTTTCTACGGCTACATTTCTACAGTTATGACTATGATACAAGCAATAAACTACAAGATCTAAAAAAATATCTGACATAACAACACAAGGTATAAAATACACAGTACATATAATGTTACTACTAAAAACAGAGTTTGAATTGATAATACGGTCTGTAATAAACTCAATTAAATTAATCAATCCTTTGTACATATATATTTTTTTTAAAAACACATTCATAACAAAATAAATAGTAAAAAAGGCATTTCAAAATTAATGCCACAATAAAGAATTGAACAACAAAACAACATAATGTTGAAGTTACATTATAGATTTTCACTAAATTGAACATTATAACATAATATTCAAACTCTGTTGAAATATTAGTCAAAATTAATAATTAACCTTCTGGCGGTCGTGCGTAATTGATAAATAGGGAAAAGTGGAGTAATATTACGCAGATAAGAGAAAATGAAGTTTACTCTTTTACTCTTACCTTCTAAGAGACTTTGGATTTTTTATATTTATGTCTAAATTATTTCAGTTTCTGCAAAATTTACACTTTTTTTAATATTTATTTATTTAGTAGTCAATATCCTAATGTAGGCATTCACACAATATTAAATCTGGCATTAGGCATGTGTTTCAACAGCAGGCAAAATTGATTCAAATGTAGTTTAATTTTATACAATACTTTATAATAATTTTAATTGAACTGCAATAAGAATAAGGTCTTCTTATATAATTTTATTCCATGAAACATCTGCCAAGTAAAGTCAATAAAAATTCCTTACCATTTTCTTGGTACACGATTACCGATATTTTTTTTATATTTTAGATTTAAATTTTTTTGTTTCCAGATAAAAATGGGAAGATGCCTTTTTCAAAATACAGTAATTCCTCTACATTTGTGGGTTTCTTATTCATGAGTTTTGATCATCAACGAATACAAAAATCTGGAAAAGTTTTAGATTTGCAGATTGCGTATTTGCCTATTTGTCATTAAAAAATAAATCATGAGCTTAAACGATTTCCAATGCAATATGCATGTACATATTCAACATGGATATGTACTTTATAGATATGTTTCCACTCGTAAAAAGGATGGAACACAAATAACTGGAAAAATTCAATTTTTTGTTTCTTCCATGTAAATGAAACTAACTTAAGGAGGAATACATTGGCTGTCCGGAAAATAATGCACCATTTTGAGGGTTTTTTAAAATACCCCTCTATATAACAAACTGTTTACATTTACTGGAATATTCATTTGTACGAATGTCAACACTTATTAATCCTCTTCCAAACGATAATGTCTTTTTACCTCTGTAACATTTCGCTGCTTAGAAATAATTCAGTCTTTACTAAGATGTCAACGCGTGATTTTCGTATAATTTTGCTGTATGAGTTTAAGCTCGGATGGAATGGGGCTCAGACGGATAGAAACATCAATCAAGCCTGAATTCAGCCTTGAAGACAAGGAAGGTCGTGGAAGGACTTCCTCTCTTGATGACGTTGTTCTATGGACTTTGATGGAAGAAAACACTAGAACAACTGTTCCAGAACTTGCAGGGGAACGTAACCTTAACTAATCGATAGTTGATGACTACCTCAAGGCGATTGGAAAGGTAAAAAAGCTTGAAAGTTGGGTTCCACACACATTAAATGACCGCCAAAAAATCCAGAGTTATGAAGTTGGTGTTACACTTCTACGCCATAACAACAGTGACCCTTTTCTGTCCAGAATTGTTACTTGTGATGAAAAGTAGATACTTTACAATAACAGTAGATGTTCAGGGCAGCAGCTCGACAAAGGAAAAGCAGCAGAACATTTTCCAAAGCCCCCAACTCAAATAAAAAAAAGGTGATGGTTACTGTTTGGTGGCCTTCGTTTGGTTTGAGACACTACAGATTCTTAAATCCTGGAGAAACCATCAATGCCAAATAGTATTATAACCAAATTAATGTAATCCATCAGAAACTGGCATTAATGAAGCCTTCTTTGTTCATTTTGAAGGAGCCCATTTTGTTGCATGACAACACCCTACCACATGTCTCACGTGCGATATCACAAAAACTGTTGGAGCTTGGATACAAAACTCTGCCACATCCATCTTACTCTCCAGACCTCTCACCTACGGATTATCATTTTTTAGACACCTACTTACCACTACCACTACTTACGTGACAAAACATTTAATTGACAAAGGGAATTAGAAAATGCGTTTTTGGAGTTTATCAATTCTAAAAATGGGAAATTTTATTCCGAGGGAATGGAAAAGTTGTCAAAACATTGGCAGAAATGTATTTGATAGTAGTGCAGACTATTTTGATTAAATAAAACAGTTGTAAATCTTTCTTTTTTCTTTTTCAACCAAAATCCTGCATTATTATCCGGACAACCTGATAAGATTA